TTGTTTACTTAAAGGCGATTTCTGTACACCATAACAAATTAACGAGCTCGTATGAACACGTGTATTGTAAAACTTCGATTCCATGCCACAGCCTTAATTTCTCTCTGAAATTTCTGAAATGGCAGTTACTTCCCTCCGCGCTCGGACGAGGTTGAGTAACGAGGCAGGACAGGAAGGAGAGAGGCTTGGTGCCAAGGCCACATGGCACAGTCTGACAATATTCATACGATACGGTACACTTCAGTATCAGTGGCGTCTAAATTTCGGCTGTTTGGATTTTAAATTATATTTATTTTGAAGCAATTTTAAGCTCAAATTCGTGTAAATATTATTTAAATTTCAAACTTCGCTCTCTAAGGAAACACGAGGCTGGCTGTTTGTTCTGGTGATCGCATGAAGCCCATCCACGCGCTCTGTGGACAAAATGCAGAGTTAATGAATATTAAGTCACACTTGCAATGTGAACTTCAAGGGCCATGAGGCATGCAGTAAGGAATGGAACTCATTTTTAAAACGTGGTGTACTCCTACACAACGTGAAATCGGGAGTTCCTGGTCATAAACTGCCATCGGAATTATGATGGTACAGCTTGTTGCTGTTATCTGTAAAACCAGACAGAAAACTGATAACGCCAAACACAGGCGTGTGATTGGATTGGACCATATCTGTGGGGTAGGGGGAGACATTCCAAGATGGATTTTGTTTGGAAGGGACGCTTTATCTTGGCGTTACTCTCTGAACAAACAGGCCGTTGCGATATTCTGTCGTGATATATTTGAGGTCACTTCACCTTTTCCATGCTACGCACGAGATATTTCGCTCAGAACTTGTCCTTCAGATAGACTGTGTAATTATTTGGTTATCTGTGAAGGTCCTTGAAATACGTTTCGCCAACTTAACAGTTGAAGTAAAGTATTTGCGTCTTTGCGTTACACGTTACTTGGGGATGTGTTGATTAGCTGAACGACTGCAACTTTCTCACGAAGCACTTTATAAAGCTAGTTATGACTTTGTCTCACTAAATATAGGCCCACATTCAAACAATTTTCAGTTTTGTATGTTTTCACATGCGTTTTATCTACTATATAAAGATAGTGTAATTGCGTCATATTGTGAATATTATAACAATTATTTATTTTAATCCGTCTGATCACAATATTTAAAATTTCTTATAATTAAGATAATAAAATATCATTGATGTTCCATATCGATTGATCGATTTACATTTCGGAACATTTACACAACATGTTTCGGTTTTTATAAAACCATCATCAGGTGTAAAATATATCTAAGAACTTAAAACTCAATTATGATTTCTGTAGTATTTTGGTGATGTTTCATTACGTTTGTTTTTCCATTTTTGGGCGAAGGTGTTGTTTTTCTTAAATGTTATTAGATGTACATATCGGCCATGTTGTGTAAATGTTCCAAACTGTAAATCGATCAATCGATATGGAACATCAATGATATTTTATTATCTTAATTATAAGAAATTTTAAATATTGTGATCAGCCGGATTAAAATAAATAATTGTTAACTACTATATAAAGTTAAGCAAATCGATGTGCTTGAAATTGAACGTTGCTTTATCCTGCTGCTAGTTTTCTTTCTACTTGTAATGTCCTCTCAGATGGAGCGGTGCAGAGCTACTGTAGCAATATGAAAGAAAAATCCGACGTAATTAGACTATATTTAATGTTATCCTTCGGAACTCTAAAATACATCAAATTCTCGGCGTATGCGTCTTGTATTCTTATTAGTTTCCAGACGTCGCATAGCAGCGTCTAGATTCACAGCCTGTTCCGATCGATAGTGGCGCTACACGCGAATCTGTAGAATATTTTATATGAAAAATGATTTCAACGTTTCTTATTCTACTCCTACGACTGCAAGCCAGAAGTGTTTTCTAACCTGCGAGTCGCTTGGGTAACTTGCGTGGATCGTTAATTTTAAAGCAGCTAATCACAATGTGTTGTTACACAAAGTGTCAGAATCGATTAGATCGATCCTTCGTCATCGATATCCTGTCGTTCAGTATTACCACACGCAATCACAGCCTGGCGATGTTTATGAAAAATTACACTAATTAATACATTTCAATTGAAATAAACACAACGTAACGAATGAGTTGTTAGCAATTCTCTCCAGTTCAGTTACTATCCCGGAAAGCGTTTTCGTGATTTTTCTCAATTCATCTATGCAAATGGCAGAATGTTGACCTAAAAAGCAAATGGTTCCCACGTCATCATTTACAGTCTAATTTCATTCAACGCTAAAAGACTCTTCGTGGGGTAGAAAGTGTTGTTGAAGGAGCTGTGAATATTTAGTTCTAACAAAATTAAGAATAAAAAAAATCATATAAATTATTTCATATGAAGGAAATTTAATTGAAATTTGACATTTTGGATCCACGCTAAAGTTGTCGGAATAATTTAATTTTGGTCCGTACAATCAACCAGTAGTCCAATTACTTGAACTCCACATAAAATTTCATATCCGTACACGGTTTATTGAAAGTGTTACCTATAGTGCGATTAGTTTTTAGCAGAGATTTTTATTAAGTGAACGACGTAGTAAGTTACGAGAAATTGCACAGAACGCATTGAAAAAAATTACCTATGTTTACTGCCAAGTGGGATAATTTTACACTCCTGTTTGGTAAGTTACTAGGCCTGCGAGCGACTGCTTTCAAGCCCTTCTGCGCGCGTTTCCTTTGCGTAGTTCAGACCGCAACTTTATCTACGACACAAGAGCTGATTACGCTCAAGCGCTCTGTTTATGCCAGTGGATTGTTACCGATATTGAGGCCGACTTCAGAGCAGGAAGTTGCACGCCTGAAACATGAGAAACAGAAAAATTAAAAAGTGACTCTAAAATCCTTACACATTTCCGGATGACGACTTCCAAGTTTTAACTTTTCAGTTATTCAACTGAAGATCTGTTTGAGGGTGAATCTGTTCTAGTGGAAATTCTGCCCAGATATGAATTAGTAAATTGTGTAATTGTACGAAATCTTGCAAAACCAAACTCCTTTCTACATTTTTTCGCGAAGTGACATGAGCTCAGTGTTTTATCTCTTTCTGTAATATCAACAGCAAACTGTAACGCTGTTGCAAATCATCATGGCCAATGCCCGCATTTCTACCAACATTTTAAACTCGCTGGTAAGCAACTTGAAGAGCCCACACCGACCTCCAAAAAATCTTCTCACCGTCTCCTTGGTCTTATTCCTGTTCTTTGTTCTGTGTTTTGAATTCCGTGTTATCTTCCGTTCTATCTACATAACATTTTCATCCCCTTCTGAATGCAGTATCTTCTCAGCGAGTGCTTTGTTATTAGTCTTCAAACTTCTTGTGTATTCCAGATTCTTGTCTAATCGTGTTGCGTTTTTTAAAAAAATATTTTACTTAAACCAGATCACAAAATTCTTTGTTACTCGAAATGCAATATATTCTTCCCCAAACTTCTTCGCGTACTCAATTTTGAAAACATTTTAAGAATTATTCTTTAGCTCTTTATCGACGTTTTCAGTACTGTTCTTGATTACTGATATATTTTGGTACCTTCGATGTTAATTTTTCATTTTTGGGAACAACCGGAAGTAAATTATACTTATGCAATACGACATTAGCTGTTCAAGGAAGTTCATCTTTCCAGGTTGTGCTTTATTGAGTTCGGATTATATTCAGTTTAAACACGTACTTGGCTGTGTTAGTGGCTTCAGAGATGAATAGTCTGCACTTTCCTTTCCCATAATGAATCATGAAATAATCCTTGAGTGCGTCACTAAATACCTTTTACTTTTACTACATTACTGAAACAGGAGTTAAAAATTATCTACAATGGTGTGCACATATTAATTAGGAATAAATGGATAGGCCTACACAATATTTCCCATATTTTATTTATTTATTTAGTGTTCTGTCTGACGACAGGTCCATATGAACAGGATCCTTCCATCCTTTTCTCGGACTGGGACCTGTTCATATACGTTCTTGGCAGATGATCCAGAAGTGGTTTGCCATTGCCTTCTTCTGTGTGTGAATGGAGTAATTGTTGGGATGCCACGGAGGAAAACTCCGTGTTGCCTGGACCACGGCCTTGCCCAACACAAGTTATAAATTCGGGCACCGCCGGGAATCGAACCCGAGACCCCCGGGATTACAAGGCCAGCGTTCTAACCGCTAGACCACCGTGGCTATATTTCCCATATATTCCTTTAAATTATGTTGTAAATTTCGAAAGTACTTAGGCTGCGGGCTAAACAACCTGGGTTCCATTCCCGTTCAGGGGCTGGGATCTTTTTTATTCTATCTGGACCAGCTCTGAGGACCCGCACAGTCTCCTATCCAAGCAGTACCGAGAGCCATTTCCCTGGGAGCAAAGCGGCCGGGGCATGAAGCTGACAACTCACCTCAATAGTGCCAAAGTTTGAAATGCGTGGAGGTATACCTCCATTACCCCATACGTCCTAATGGCGTGATGAATAGTTTAGGCATACGAAAGCGCGGTTCTTTGTTGCAAACAAAAGTCTTTGCCTTGCATTCGCGATGTATCTGGTTCGAGGATGGGTCATGGATGGGACAGAGTATCCTGGATTTGGACGTTTCGTATTATGTGCCATTCAGCAACAGGAGGTTTAGCAGCTTCCATGTTGTGCTATAGGTCTATTGTAATTTTTGACGTAAATACGTCTATGAGGAAGGGTCATTCGGCAAAAAAGTGGAACGAAAAAGTGTAACCTGGTTACCTAGGGAACGTCGTGTTTACTCGGCATTGTTGTTACCTAGGAAACGTTACATTACCTTACCTTACATTACATTACTTTACATTACATTCAGCTACCACAGACCCATCTTAAGCGTAATTAATTCAAGTTAAATAAGCAAAGTCTTAATCAAACTTTACTCAATTGTAAAGATGTATAAAGGAAATATTTAGAATAAAGCCAATATATAAACTTCCTTTCCGTATAGACGTATTTACGTCAAATTCTCCGGAACCGTGGTTCCAATGACAACTTTTTCTAGAATGAAATTATACGTCCTTCATCTGTAATTATGACATTTATAATTTGGTTGGCATACGACAGGGATTGGGGGGTGTTACCTGGGTTCTTGTGCTCTCGCCTCTGGCCCATCGAGTAATTTGAAACAAGGAACCTTACAGAATTGGAGCTGAGAAAGAAAATGACAAGGAAGTTAAATATAAAGAAAGGAATGGGAACGTGGTGTGTAATGGACCTGAGTTTTACTCCGTGTGGGAGGGGCGTGGCGTTGTGGTAACTGCTGTTGGAGACTGGAAATTTCCACTCTGCGAATGTGGTGGTCAGATACAAAGAACACTGTATCCGTGTATTTAATCTGAAGTTGAAGCACTGCTTCTTAACAAGAAGACAGTTGCACAATGCACGTTTCCTGAGTTCGTCAAGGAGTCAGAATGATATGCGAGAGGAACGCAAGGCCGTGCACCACAGCAAGAACTTCCAGCGGCCATCACCAGATCTACCGGACGTATCAAAATTCAGTTCACCCATTATTTTGCTGATGTTTATTTACAAGATAGTATTATTATTATTGTTATCTTATAACATTATTGGCGGTTGATCCTGTAAAGTCGAAACTCCCTACGTCATGTGCATATGATGACCATGCGTTGGATGGCGATCATATTCGTCCCATTTCGAGAATGAACACTGCTTAAACCGGATACAACTGGAAACCGGAATCCAAACGTAATGGAGATACGGCCTCGGAAACGTGTTTATGGAAGCGTAGGTTCTCTGCGTCTCTTGTGTATCTCCTGCCTCAGGCACTTATGAATTTTTGCTTTCTGAACGTTTAAATTACGAGTTAATTGTAATTATATTATAGCCCACTGAGATGGTTTAAACTGAACTATCTAGGCTATGGAAAGTTATATAATACCAGTAATGAAGTTGATTTCGGCCTGCGGAACGCCACTGACGACTAGTGTGTATGTTGCATCTCGTGATGTCTGTATGTGGTCGCGTATGATAGCTGCTGGAGTACGAACTACATTTGTAATAGAAACCACATGGCGTTGGAATGTGTGATATTTCAGTCTCTTAAGAAAGCAAGAACCTTGAAAATACTACAGGATTACTACAAACGGAGTATACACTTTTAAATAAATATGCTGATCAAATTTATTAAAGCTTTGTTGGTAAGACATGAAAGTCTGTGTTTTTTCTAAGTTGGCAAGACGTTCAGTTTTAGAAGACTCGATGAAGTGCTTCTACTTAGATCGCTGAATTGACTGTAAGAACTGTAAACTATAGCCTCATAGATACACGGATCTAATTCATATGAAGTTTTCTTTTCTATGGGGTTAAAGATCAGTCGCGTTTGTCTTAAGAACTGGTTTTCTGAAGATATCGCTTTTTTTGAACACAACACATTTCAAAACGTTTGGAACGCATTTCTCGTATGTACCAGCGGAACTCGTATTTAGTACATATTTAGTTATCTATGAACTTAAGCGTTTGGCGTATGAGGTACTGTGGTCTGAAAACATTTGTAGGAAGGTCTGTTAGTCCTTTTAACGTATTTTTAAAAGTGTACATTTCGTTTGCAAAACCGCGTATTTGACAGTGCATATTTACTTCAACATGTAAGTTTTATAACCGTGTAAGATTCTGACGTAAGTAATGAAAATATGCTATATTTTTCATTCAGTTGCTACAGGCAAATGACAAGACCTACAAAATGTGATTTGTTATAATTCTGGATTTGAGTTTTTCACCGCGTTGAGTCTGAAGATGGTGATCTTCTGTTAAAATTTGCCTGCTTAAATATTAAAAAGAGTGAATAAAATATATTCTGAAACTATTATTGTTTCAGTCATTCAACAGTAATTTATGACTTGAAATTTTTTCGCTGTCATTGCTGCTATGACTATTACTGCAGTATAGTCACCTTAAATAGCAGTTAACAACGGATGCGTGTTCTTGTAATCGGGAAGCAAAAGTGGAAGGCAAAGTAGGGAGATTCCATATCGACAGAGGAACAACGGCAGCTTAGCTACGGATCTGGCAGGAAAACTGACCCTTATTTGCAAGGAGATTTGTTTATTTATTTATTCGTGTGATGTCTCATTGTTTTTAAACACAGTCTTTCTTGTTTGCTTGTAGTTTAGTTGGTGCAGCCAGCATATAATTAACTATCGACGTTTTGTGGTCATTCCACTCTTCATCTCTTTCAGATGCATCTGCCAGGATCCCCTATGAGGTAAATTTGTGTGGACAAAATGAAGTTTTCTGCGACTCCATAAAATATTAGTACAGCAAATTAAAGTGAACGCTTTTTAACATCTGACAGAAATAAATATTTCATAATACAGGACATGTTTGAGTGATCGCTCGTATGAGTACATATTGTGAACGCTAGCAGCACACTCTGGCGAGTGGTGGCCGTATTTTGTCTCGTTGCCATGGTTACGTGTGTTATTTTCGGTCGTATTGATCTGTGGTCGCTTTGCCGCGCGCATCCTCGGCGATTTCCATTCCCGTTCTGGCGTCAGACAGCCGTACTGACTTACTTTTATTTCCAACAGGCCTATACAAGGCACAAGAACAAAAAGATGAACAAACAGCACGTCATTATCATCGTCCTCACGTTATTAGGATGATAAGGTGACTGGCGAATGACGACACAGTGACGTCATTAAAGGCAAAAGACAGGTAATTACAGACTACAAAGCTACGTAGGTGACACGTGAAAGCAAGTGACAATGTAGGACGTTTTCTGATGGCACATAACCCGTTCCACGCAAGTTTCTTTTATGTCCTACTCTTTCTTTTCTCTCTTCCTTTATCTTATTCTCGTTCCTCTCTTCAGTGGTTTATGTTTTAAAAAATTCAAATTCTTTTTCGTAAAGCTTGATCAAAATGCTGGAAGTTTGACAATATGTATTATGGGTTGTAGCGCCGCGTAGTTTGTAAAACGTTTACCAACATTTCAGAAGTCTTTTATGAATGGACTTCGTATGAAAACACTTGAATAACCCAGTGTACAAGTAGGTAGACGGACTACTTTGGCGTAAACTTCAGGCTTTGATCAGTCGATGTACGGTATTAGATTAAAATGTTTAAATATTCCTATGGAAAACTAAATCCTGTCGAAATTAACTTGTTAGGTTTTTAAGAAGTATAAATGTCCTGTCGTTAAGTGACATATTACTCACTCGTTCGATGCTTTGAACAGTTTAATACGCCGCCTCCATTAAAGCGGAAACTGAACTACCAGCTGCCGGAAGCGGCAGTCTGTGACTTAGTTGCACCACAATCCAAATAGACGTAGAGAGCACAGCGTTACAGATTTGAACCTTCAGTTGCTAATACCCGGAGGGGCAGTTTTGTCAGCGAGGCAAGTGTCTTTACATCCTTTTTTGGACAATTTTCTTTGTAATCATCTGTTCGAACAGTTCTTGAAAATCTGATTGTCTCTCAGCTAGCCAACAAATTCCCCACATTTCCGCTATACAAAATCAGTTTGCTCTATGAGTTCAAGAGTATTCAGGTGAATAACCAAATTGGTGGAAGTGAAATTGTTTTTAATGTGGATTTATAGAAAGATCACAATCGGAGTAACAAACTACCTTCAATGCTAGACTTGAATGGCCATATATAAAAAATTAAATCGAAATAGGTCTGTAGTTGCTGATTGTACAGTCCCACGGTCATCTTTTCTAGGTGCGCCCGCAACAAAGTTATAATAAAGCGCCTTTTGGCTTCCACCTACCTTGTAGATGGTACAAATGATGGCGACAAGGACGACAGTGACGGCAACATCAGCAAACTATTGTCTGTCTGTCTGTCACGTTTTTCATGTGGTTCTCAACTTGACTGGGGATTTAGTTTTCTTACGGGGGTGTCAACCTGTATGGTCAGGATGTCATTGTTCCTGTAGGGGTATCAACCTGCATGACCGGGGTTCATTGTTCCTTTTGGGATACTCAACGAGCATGACCGGTGGGGTGGGGTAGGGTGAAATTAGTGCAAGAGTGGCCGAAGACTCCACATTGACCTCGGATCTGATCAGTGCAACAAGTACTTATGTGATGTGGCATGAAGAACACCTTTGGAGTGTCAGTGTATGGACCCCGAGTACATCGAAACAGTTGGGAAAGAAAGTAGAATAAAGAAGTCTCGCAAAAGAAAACACAAGACACGGAGTCCAAGAGGCATGTGGCATACAGCAATAGAAACAAGCTTCAGCCCTGCAGCAAAACAGAAGTGCGTGTGACATGATTTGGGTTGTTGCCGCGGGGAGCGCTGCTGACCCGAGCGGCCATTGACCCCACCCACGTGGAACCGGGACACGCACACACGTTATGGTCCGGCCACCTTCTTATTCACGACTTTCGGACCCTCATTTTATAGGGGTTTCATAACCCCCTTTGTTACAGTTCAGGGATGATGATACTACCACCACTACCAAACAAAGTCTCATTTGTTGCTGTCTGTAGAGTGACTGCTTTACAAAAGTAGTTTTGTTGTAATAAATGAGCGTCATGACCAACATATAAAAGTATTTAGCTAAGCGTTTGTTTGTATGAATACTGTTGTTAAATCAGTGACATCACGTTCAGTTGCTTCATTTTTTGTGGGGGGGGGGGGGGGGGGGGAGGAGGATTATTGCAGTTTCTAACTTTTGGTAGACATTGCATCGTTTTTATTCTGGAACGGACTACATTTTTCATTTGAAAATATGTACGAGGAATGAAGAAAGGTGCAAAGCTGCTTGCGAGGGGTTAAAAGGGGTGCTGTGGGGAACGAAGGTGCATTGACCTCACTACAGTGCTCCCACCTCTTGGGCGAAGGCCGAACTGGGGCTGCTCAAAACTACGCCCTTTCTCATTATGTACCACCCACAGATTATACCACCTGCACCTGCCCCGGCAGTACATTTTTTGGACTGAGCCTATAGACATGTCACGAAGAGGTTGTTGAGAAATTTTTAAAAATGTGGTTGTTTGCTACAGCGAACACGTAAAAGGACAGTTATTATTGAGTGTTCTGTCTGACGACAGGTCCATTGCTCTGCCCAAAAAGAGTTCGCCAGTTTTCCCTATTCACAGCTTCCCGTTTTAACTCCTGAAACTTCATCTTCTTTCCTTGTTTAAGATCGTCGGTTAGCTGTATCAGTCTTCTTCCCAGTCCTCGCTTTCCTTCAACCAAAAGGACAGTAGGAAAGAAAATGTTTGAAAGAGAAACTGCAAGGAAGATGATGAGATTTCTTATCTCATCATGAGTGTGGAGATATCTTCTGGGATGTTGCGTCTTGTTGTCGCGGAGAAGCTGACAGACCTTTCAAAGATGCTTACTCTGCCCTGATGATGGAGGCAGCAAATACTTCTGTAACGTTGGTATACTCCTACCAGACTACAGGGTGCAACAACCCAGAAGACAACTGACCATCTTCAGCCTCTTATTAGTTCACACTATCACCAAGAGATGGCAATACGCTGAGGTCAGCACAGTGGATTTTACTTCCCGTACGCTAGCCAGTAGTACTAGGCAGTGTTTGTCACTGGAGTAAATATAAATGGTAATTGAACTCAGTTGATGCTCAAAATTAACATGATACATGTAACAAAAATTCTATATTCTCACGGGCTCAATCGAAGTTGTTCAGTCTAGAAATTGGAGTTGCTATCGACGACAGTGCTCGTTCGATGACTACTGTTCGTGGTTGCTTGCTTGAAAGATGACCCATAATTTAATTTTCTGATAAATACAGCAACCGTGAGTTGCTTCAGTGCGAACAACCCGGAAACATCAACTCGACTGCGACCATAATATTTCAAGATGATTTAAAAGTTGTTACTGTGTTGAGATTTCAGTTTCTCATGGCACCGATCGTGAAAACGTCTGTCGTCTTGGATGTGTCATGTCTGGTTGAAGTTTGCCGTCGTTTGTTATAAAATAAAATAGTAGTTGTTCTGTGGTAATTTCTGTATAGTCAGTGGTTTTATCTTTCTGCAGGTTAAGGTGCTTCCATTTGGATGAAGTCACTACAACCTGAAGATGGATACAGCATGTTCCTCCAAAACGTTGGCGTACAATAAGAAGACAGAATGGCACAGCAAGACTGTAATATGAAATAATTGTGGTCAGTTTTGTATGGGCATGAAACATGGTCTCTATTTTGGGGAAGAATAAGTGCTGCAGAAAATATTTGGATCTACAAAGGATAAAATATTTTATAGTATTACATAACATGGACATTTATAGTTTATTTATATCACCTGGTATTGTTAAGGTAAAGGAATCTAGGTGGGGTCAGTGGACTGGGCAGGTAAGTAGAATGGATTACACACAGAAGTTTGGTAGTTAAATCTATTGAAAGATTTTTATGTGGTAAACTCAGAGGGAGTTTAACATAAAGATGGATCTTTGGGGAAAGGTGATCCTGGGATGTTGATTGAACAGACACTGGATGGTTTCCAGTGGTGGATGTTGGTATTACTGTTTTGTCCTCAAGTTTTGCTACAGTGGTTTTCATGTAGTGTGGTTACTATCTTAAATAAGTTAAACATATTTTCTTCAACATTATTTAGCTTTTGATTATTACTCCCTATCCCAATTCATATAGTGCTAATTAATTCTATGTTTTGAATCATGTTGCTATAGTAATATTTCTCCCATTTTATGTGTATAATTGTCTCCAACAACACAAAAGACAGACAATTTGTTAATATGTGAATACAGTTCTATCATTCATAAAACTTTTTTTCTTGCATTTCATTAAGTATTTACCATAGATAAAGGCGATTCTATTACAAAATTGTGTGTATAAAGATATATATTTTGTCATAAGCAAATTGTTACAAGATCAGTGATTTAAATGAAGTTCATTCTGAGACTCATGTATTCTAGGGGTTGTATTTTACCAGTTCAAATCAAAATAGAAATTTGCCTAATAACGTTTAGCATAGAACCATAGCCCCAACCTTAATAAAAATCTCTTTATCAGGTATGGAGATGAAAATTAAGATAGGCATACAGACTCACTCTTATTTGTTCACTTTATGCCCTATGTGGGGGGGGGGGGGGATGTTGGCCTTTTAGACCCTAACATATAAGTACAGAAAAAGAGAATTTTGTGTTAACCTGAAGTCAGAAAAGTTAAGATGGGGCTAGTACCAACTAACATTCAAATGATTAGCACAGTCAGTAAATCTGTGGTGAGTGTTATAGGCTTCCCGCATGTTCATGTGATCTGACTGCGGAACTGCTGTAGCTGTCTGCAGCAGATGTCACGAGGGAAACCAATGATGGGTTGAAACCTACAGTACATGTGATGGTAAGATAGATGACACTTGGGAACTTACAGTGCTTATTAGGCACAGCATTTTAGTGGAAACAAGGTGCTTGGGTGGAAAGGAGGTATGGCTCCTACTCATTTTTAACCTTGGCACTCGATAGGGATGAGTGATAACCATCATACCTTGGCCACACTTTACCCTTGGAAATGGAACCCGGTACCCATTTGATGGGAGGCTGGTTGGGCCCCAGTGCCAGTCTGGACCCAGAGGGTAGACGATAAATTCTCTGCCCCCTGTAAAAATTAGTAATTGTATTTATGAACAGAGAATTCAGATAACTTGACTGTTCTAGTTGCATTGGAGGATTATTCCTGCTTTGCAATTTGTATTCATTATAAATAATCCTAATGCGTGCAGAATGTGTAGTGCTGTAGTGTTTGTTACTGGAACTCCTGCTACACGTTGGATGGACATTCCAGAAATGACAACACAAGACAAAGTTTATCTCACTACACTTCATATGTCACATATTCCTAAGTCCTGATATCCCTAGTTTACTACTTTGGATTCCATGTAACATTTATGTCTTTTCAGCAACAGAGACTGACAAATACTGTTTGTCAGTTCTATTGCATATAAATTGATGGAAAACTATTTGTACTGCCTATTTGCAGAAATTGTTTTCCCCTTTTGATTAAGTTAAAATGTACCTCAAGTGAAGTTGTTAATCGTAATTATCTCCGTATCATGTATTATGTAGAAATGTTTTTTCTCAGTGAACCATCTGTGAAAAAATTAGGTTGTTTAGTTTCAAACTTCATTTGAAGTAGGGTAACTAAAATTAAATTCACTTTACAACTTCCTAATTATACATTTATTTTATGAAGTCCGCATAAAGAATACATAAGTATATTGGCTGATAACTTCCCTCTGCATCAAATCTTTGTTTTAAGTACCATTCTTGTAGTTAATTTGGTTCCATAACCAAACCCTTGTTTGTAACTGTCACTGTGCTGTAGCTTTCAGAGTCACCACACATTTTCCATGTCACTTCCTGAGGTATTCAAAATACTTTCTAATATGATGTTCCATAGTTCATAAAGGTCCTTGTATTCTGATGCCTTTTAAAAGCAAAACTATTCTCACTTTTCCTAGTGTACATTCAATAAGCTGGAAGGAACCATAAAATTTCCACCTTTCTCTGCATTTGAATTATAAATATGTGAGGACTAAGAAGTACATACACATGCAAAGAAAACACAAGGTGTAGTTTTCGCAGGACAATGTATATATAATATTAGACCAAAGTACAAAATTAAAGGTATAATGGACATTGGTAAGGGCATAGAAACCACATTTAAAAGTAACTTTCACCAAATAACAGCAATCAGTCAGACATGTACTTATGAATGGAAATAAACACAAGGGATGTGTCACCACCTATCACCATGATATTTTGCCTAATATGACTCATATATCCAAGTACATTAACTATAAAAAAATTAAATTAAATCATACAGAGAAAGTCATCATGATATGACATGTGTATATATACACACACACACACACACACACACACACACACACACACACACACACACACACACACACACACACACACACACACACACACACACACACACACACACACACACACACACACACACACACACACACACACACACATAAATACAAAGATACCAGTACATGTACATGAAAGCTAAATCTAACCTTACTTCCACCCACAATATTCTAAACCATTTCTACAAATATGTATGCATAATAACTTAGTGAGAGTGCCCCTACAAATATTTTCCCTTCTTTTTACTAGGAATGTTTTGAGAAATACAGAGCTGTACTTTTCCTATTAAGTATACACCAAGAAATACATGGACATTGCAGTCTGCTCAGTTTATCGAGAAGTAGTGATGCCACTCAGACTGCCTAAATGTGTGTGCACTGCATTGCTAGTGAGTGTGTCTTGATGAATTCATAGATGTATTTCTAATAAAGGGTCTTGGAAAATAAGTATAAATCACATTTCTAGTTTGAATGCCTTGACATATACAAATACACAGCTATTATAGCTGGAGTACAGGCTCATAGAATTCGTAGCTAGAATGATCCAATAAATAACCATACATATCACTCCTGGTAGGACAGCATTGATACTTCACTCCAGTATATATAAAGGACCATAATAAGTCTGTGTCACACATGCTGTTTTTCTATGGAAAATTAGATGGCTCATAAAGAGGAAACATGTTCCAAAGAAGAAGTGGCAACAGGTATTATAATTGCATGCTTATTACAGCTATTTATATAAATATTTACAGTACTTAATAATTTTCAGTTGCAGTAAATTTTTCTATAGAGTAGGAGTGAGGTAAATAATAACTTATATACTTTTAAATCATGATTTAATCTTCTAATGCCATCTGGAAGAGCACTGACTAATTTGATTCTTGCATAGGAAGCACCTTACTGATGACTAGTGAGATTAATGTATGACTGATGGAGATGATGTAGGATTTAAGGTTTTCATAGCAGTGAGTCTAAAGATGGCTATCTTCTAGGTTTTATTGCCTTGTAGGTGCTGGTTATGGAGGAATCCAGGACCTCTTGAACATTTGTTAAAATTCTACCAGCCTGCATGGCACTGCAACCCAGAAGGCAGCCATTCATGGATATCATGCTTATGGTTTGCATTTATGATATGTGTCATTCAGTTGCAAGGGGGAATATATTAAAGTTCTTAAATAATTCTCTGCAAGATACTATTCCTGTAACACATGCCATTATTCTAATAATTTTCTCTTTAGTTGATTACAATGTGTTGAATAATCCTAGAAGGTAACTCCATACGGATGGAGTGGAAATAAGCAAAGTAAATAAATAAAAGCATTTATCTACTTTCAACAGTGGCATGACTGCCTTCATGGCAAAGCATGCTGAACTTAATCAAGGGATAATATATTCAATCTATTCTTCCAGTTGAATTTATTATAATATTACAAACCAAGGAACTTAGATTTTAATACTTCTATTGTTCTAATATCATAACCTATATACATATTGATACTCTTTGGTAGTGAATTTTATGGTTTACCTTGTCAGAACTTGAGTTGATTTTATTGGCTTTAAATCAGTTTAGGTCAGTGTAATCAGGGGAGAATACGTATTGGATTGAGGATTTATTATTTTTCTTGTATATCAATTAAAAATAATAAGAAGGAAAGAGGTTATGTTTTTTAATAGTCCATATTTCATCCACGAGAGGGCACAGTAAGTATTACGTTGGTCATTCTGTACTAAACATTAATACCAACGTAAATCACGTAGCTGAGTGTCCTACCTCCTCGCATATCCTAATACCTGGTTACAAGCCTAAATTTCAAAATGGCGTCCGCTTACTAGTATGATACTGCAGCCATTTTGTATCAGATATAGTTTCAAGTTCCCAGTAAGAGGGCGGTTTCATAACATAGTCCCAACTATGGCCCCCAGAGTACGGCACGTCGCCTTTATGCATGAGAAACAGTTTGAAATTTAGCCATCAGAGGTCAATACTATCAAAAACAAATGACAGATATTATGTTGGTATTCCTGTTGAGAAGCAGGGTGACCAACTTAATATTATTATTTAGTTCTCATACCTCCTCGCCTATCCTATTGCCTGGATACAAGTTCGAAATTCAAAATGGTTCTTGAAGTTATACGAAATTGTAGCCATGACAATTATGTTGAGGTAGTTCAGTATTTGGCGAAGGTAGCGCTAGCAGTCAGCCGATGATGTGGAATGTCCTCCCATCTTTTGGCAGTATTGCGAACTACATCACAAAGCACATACCTACAATTAAACACATATCCGCCATTTTTAATTTTGGTCTTCTATCAAGGAAATAGGATGTGCTAGGAGGAGGTATTACATACAAAATATGAAAATGAGTTGGTGTCACTGCTGCACACCAGTGGCACCAACATAATCCGTTGATATTGCTTCCCTCTGGTGGCTATGTTTAGAACTGCATCGAACAGTTGACTGCTGATAGCCGAACCGTAAAGTATCTATGACGAGTAACAACGATGATAAACGAACTGTGCGAAGACGCCATTTTAAAATCGGGGTTTGTATCCAGGTAATAAGATATCTGAGGAGGTATTACACCCAAATAATGAAAATGGGTTGGTATCACTGCTCAGAACTAGGTGTACCAACTTAATTGCAGGAAAGTGTGGTTATTGCCTCCCTCAGGTGGCCACATTCGGAACTAGATTGCGACATAAAATTACATAGGCAATGTTTTGGAAAGAATAAGGTTTTGCTGAGATGTAGTTACATGAGCATTGTGCTACACGTAAATACGTTTTGATGGTGGTAGGACAATTTTCCGACTTTTTTAATGTGGATTTCCAGGCTAAGGTTGTGCATGAGGTTTGTCTGCTTAAAGGCAAATTATTTAACACGTTAAATCTGTGGTTTTTAACCTTTTGGTGCCCACGTTACAGTTGGTACATTCTTTTTATTTATGTTTGGAACAGGGAAGTGGAGTACATTTATTGTATAAAATATATTATTGATGTAAAACAGAAAGGTGATGTGATAATACAAGTATAAATTTAAACAATTTAAGGTAAAACAGTGATTTCCAAATTTTATATTGCTGTGGCCCTTTCCTATATACTAAAGACTAGAATAATGAAATTGATACCGAACTTGGTTTGTTTTAAATGTATGTCTGCATTTCTATATTACTTGTTTATTTATTTTTATTAAACTTTCTTTTTTGTAATTCCAGCTGTTCCATGGATCACCTGAATGAAACTTATGGACCTAGCTTTGGGAACCTCTGATGTACAGCAAAAAGAGTATTGTGTAATATAGTAGACCATCTTCCAGCACGTTCATGATCACTTACACACAAGACTACTTGCTTGCTAATATTTACATGGATCTTAAAGAAACAGAATATGAGAGTGTAGAATGGATGTAACTGGCTGAGGATCAGTTCCAGTTGTAGGCATGTGAACATGATAATTAACTGAAGATTGCTGTCTTCTGGGATGTTGCGCCATGTAGTATGATAGATGTCCACCAACGTTTCAGAGGTCATGCTGCCTCCGTCATCAGGGTGATGAATCATTGTTGTAATTGACTGTAATGTGTGACAGTAAAGGCAATGTGATAAAAATAAAAAAATGGTTTAATGAATCAAGAATGAAACATGTCATTTTAGGGATAAGGCACATGGTTAACAGAAGTTGGTGTTTAGCTCATATATATACAAACAGTGCAACTATGCATGAGTCATAACCTCACAAATCAGAATCTACTCTAAACATTTTTTTAGATAGTAAAGATATATTACAAAACTACATCTTTGGTGCTTTATAAGGTGGGTTGAAATCAGTACAAATTACGTTGGACTTACACCGTTCTTACCAGGCAGTAAATGTATTGTATGAATAACTTAAATAAACTTCATAAATACAAATTATTAACAACTATTTCATTATACAACAGTGCCAAAAAAATATATGCTTTGATTAAAATTGTACAACTGATTCAATAGCTGTAGTTTTATGTGCATCACAATCATAATTTTAATCATACTAATTTGCATAACATTTGGTATGTTCATTAAAATAGAGAATAATGTACCTTCCTTTGTGAAATATAATGTATCAGACTAATACAGTGGTTTTAATATAAAAGCAATAAATGTCATAAAATCAAATTACATAACAAAGTATTCAGCACATTTAACCTACAAACATGTAGGATTTTAGGTTTTAACAGCAGTGAGTCTGAAGATGGCTGTCTCCTGGTTGTTGTGCTATGTAGTTAATCTGTGCTCATGTTTAACCTGGTAACAGGGTAGGTATCTCAGTAACAGAATAATTCTAAAATTATTCATTGGTGCAATGTTAGTTTAAGAACTTTCTGAGAGGAGAGTATTGTTTAAGTAAAGTAATAGTTAACATGTGCAAAACGCCGAAACTTACCACTAAATACCTGAAAAATATCCGAGTCACTGTAAATACGCCAATTATAAATTTAGATCACAATCAAAATAACAATTTTGTGGTGTATCATCAGAACATTAGAGGATTTTCAAACAAAATTGATGAAATATCAGTGTCCATAAATAATACATATTCACCCCATATTCTGTTTGACTGAACACCATATGAAAGCACCAGAAATCTTACAGGTCAATCTAAAAAATTATACTCTAGGAGCTAGTTATTGCAGACAAAATTTGTCAAAAGGAGGATAGTATTTTTGTCAAAAAGAATTTAAAATTCAATCAGATTTAATGCATCACTGCAATGAACAAGACACAGTATGCTGTGTTGTGCAATTGCAATCTAGATTCTCCAACATATATGTCCTCGCTATATACAGATCTCCACACAGATGATTTTGAACTATTCTTAAAGAAGTTAGAAAGTATTTTAAATTACCTTTATAAACCTAAGGCAGAAGTTGTCATTTGTGGTGACATTAATGTTGATTATTTTACTGAAAGTTACCACAAGCAATGTCTGAACTCTCTACTAACATCCTTTAATCTCATGTCAATAGTTAACTTTTTCCCCTACCCCCAAGAATTCAAAATTACTCCAGTACTGCCATTGATAATGTTTTTAGACAGTTCGAGGAAAGATAATATTTTTATTGAACTGGTAACAAATGGTCTCCCTGATTATAATGCTCAACTTCTAGTTATAAAAATTATAGAATCAATCTCTAATTATCATAATTACAGGAAATGATTCAGACTTACAAATAATGACACTATTAAGGAATTTATAAAACCTAAATAATGAAAACTGGGAGTCAGTATTAAACAGACATGATGTAGATTCAAAATTCAACACATTCCTAAATATCTTCTTAAGAAATTTTAAATTGAGTTTCCTCATCAAAACAGAGAAAAAGATGTTTGGAAATAAAGAATGGATTACTAAAGGTATCAAAACATCTTGTAAATATAAACGAAATCTTTACCTAAATTGCTGATATAGTAACAACCAAATAATGAAAAGTCACTACAGTAAATATTGCAAGATATTAACTCAGGTCAGTAAAGAGGCTAAATGTATGCATTACAATAAACATATGAGCCACATAAAGTAAAAACTGGAAAACTGTGAAAAAGGAGACAGGTAAATATTCTGCAGAAGAAGTGACCCCATCAATAAAGATAGATGATGATATAATAATTGACTTTTTTCAAAATTGCATAAATGATTTCTTTGCTAGATTGAACAAATGGATTAAAGCCAATAAACTCACATTAAATTGTGACAAAACAAATTTCATGAAAGTTTGTACTAACAACAGAACTCGTGTAAATCTAAATATATGGTATGATGGGTAGATAAAATAATGGAGGAAATAGAAACAACTAAATTTCTTGGCCTACAAATTGGCAACAAATTTAACTGGAAAACACATATTCAGTACATTATCCCTAAACTAAGTTCAGAATGTTTTGCTATGAGGGTAGTTGCAGCACTCATGAAAACAGAAACTTTAAAATTAGTTTGTTTTTCTTACTTCCATTTCATCATGTCATGTGGAATCATTTTCTGGGGAAATTCAATGGACAGCAAAAAGTATTTTACATTCAAAAGAGGATCGTTAGAATAATGGCAGGCACTAAAAGGAGAGACACTTGTTGGGAATTATTTAAGAAGTTCTTCCACTAGCCAGTGGATTTTTACTCTCACTATTATCATTTGTAGTGAATAACATGGAAAAATTTCAAACAAATTCAGATACCCACAATATAGGAACAAGACACAGATACAACCTTCATGTGCCGAATTCTAACCTCAGTAAATATCAAAAAGGAGTTTACTATACTGGAATTAAGTTATTCAATAATCTTCCACCTACCATCAAAAGTTTAAATCATGATATAAAAGTGTTTAAGCCAACGTTAAAAGAGCATCTCCTATCGCACTCCTCAGTAAAAGAAATTAGATCACCGAAAAAGTCTCAACTATTATAATTATACGTAAGTAATAATGGTGTTGGTTTCCCATCATAATTAGCTTCCTGTAATACTGTAGTTCCAAAAATATGTGAATAGTTATTATATATCTTTGTATTTATATTTGTACTAGAAACAAGTATTGTATTTGTGCTGTGACCCATTCTATATCTTTGGTTTAAGCCTATGAAGGACTATGGAATGTAAATAAATTCAATTCTAATGAGTAATCCGTGATCAGGACTGACTTCGTGTAATATCATGAAGGCCAAAATTGTCATGTGTTAAAATATGGCGCTTTTATTGTCTGTTTAAATATCATTATATATATTAGTTTCTTGGAGGTATGGTTTACTCTTGTTAGAATATAAGTATTTAAGTCTAAGTAAATATACGTATAATTGCGTTCTTAATTGGAATCAGTTTATTGAGGCTTTTGTTAATGGATCAGATATTGTGACAGAATAATATCGTGAATGTTGGGACCGTATTGACTAAACTTTTCACGAGCTCTTTTGTTCGTAAGGAATGGCGTAAATTATTACGCATTTCTTTACATGTGTTAACTGAAGTCCTACGATAGTGTAGTTTTATGGCACTTGGTAAAGGACGAATTAGTAGTTTGCAGTCTGTATAAAATAAAATAAAATAATTGAAATTTGGCTGTAGAGTTCTCTAGCATTCCCTACCATACCTTTCTGCAGAAAGAGGATATTTTTACAGCCTTGTGATGTAGTTGCATTAATTAAATGTGTTTATTTTCAGAGTAATGTAACTAGCATCATGGATGATGAATTTGATGATAAAGGTTGGGATGGAGACATTTGTGATGGAGAAGTGAGTAATATAAATAATAAAGAGTTTGCTTATTGTATGTAGTTGTGATTTGAAGTAGTAGTCATTAACACTTCTTTTCAACTTTTATGTTCAAAACCTTCCTTGGAATACTCACTTTATTCACATTCTTAAAATGTATTCATACACTCTTATTCTGTTATATCTGCCATGGAATAGACTTACTTTCCTCTTCTTAGGCATTTTATTCATTTTCTTATGAAAGTTAATGTTAAAATGAATTCTAAAGAAGTATGATGTGATGATATGAATTGAATCATGTGGCTTAGGCTAGGGTCAATGACTGTGAAACTTCAGGTTGTAAAAAAGGTGAGTAATTTTTTGACTTTCAAAGTGTTTACCAGCTTGTCACAGACCGCTGCATAGAGCTGTGTGGTCAGAATAGCCAAATGTTGCTTTTTTTCTGATGTGACATTTTGCTTTTGACACAAAGCTTCCATAATAAACTTTGTATTCGGTACACATATGAGGATGTACAAGTGACGTATAATAAGAAGGAAAAGTCCAAAATCCTATGGTTCTAAACTTGTCACATAAGGAGTCAGTTAACTCCTGCCATGCACATTATTTCAGTTTTGTTCTCAGTTTTCTTATTTGTATGACCAAAAATTATTTAGAGGAGACTTGTAGGTAAATATTATATTTCAGAATTAGTAAAAAAACTGTAAGTGTTTAAGCATATAGGGGTTGACATTGTGAGGTTATGGATTGGATGCAGCTGGATCAGTATGGGTTAAGCAGCGTATTTTTTTTAAATGATGATGAACCTTCACACTCCATAAAAGGTGGGAATCTTTTGGCTAACACCTATCATCTGTGTAAGAAGTGCCTTATATCCTGGAAATATTTACTACAAGCCTGTACAACTTGCATCAGAGTTCTGTGTTTCCATGTTAAATCTCAGTCTTCAACTAAATTTTAATTTGCTTGGAATCATAAAACTCATAAGAAAGTACAATTGCATGGTGTGTAATTAATCTGTTAAGCTTTGTCATTGTAATGTTTTTAATTAAAGCTACAATGATTTGAATGTTGATACTACTTCAGTGTTCATGTAGGTGAACAAAATTTTACTGTCTTGGGCCTCCTGATCAATGTCTCAAGCTTGGTCAAAGGTTATATATATTGTAAAATCCTGAGTAAAACACAGTCTTTTTTCTTCAGTCTGAAGGAGGGGAAGAACCAGTGGAGCACCCACAGGAAGTCTTAAGAGAATGCCTGGAGAAGTTCAGCACACCGGACTACATCATGGAACCAGGCATCTTCACACAGCTGAAGAGGTTTGTACACAAGAATCATGTTCATGCAAAGTCATATTGTTATGGGAGAGAGAACCAGAATGGCTATGAAGCAAGCGGAGATTTAATTTCCTAAAATGCAGTGCCAAATAAAAGTAAAACAAAGACATTTATAAAATCTTGTCTCCAAGTACCGATACACTTTTGAACATGTTAGCTCAGAGAAATATAGATTTCTATCCAGAACTTGTAAGACTGTTAACTTTTATGTTTTGCAAAAACTCAGTATGAATGTGATAAGCCAGGATAGGTGTGTGAATAAAAAGACTGCATAAGGGCTGGATGGCCAGAATTTGATTCCCAGCAAAGGCAGGAACCAGCACATCTAAACTAGCACTATAACCCACCTAGCACCCAATTCAGTTGGTGCCAGAAGCTCTTCATGGGGTAAGCATGAAGTTGACGACCTATCTAGTACGAAGGTCTAGAATGTGTGGAGCTATGCCTCCATTTGCCTTCCATATCATTATTTCATGGTACAAAGTACAGAAATTAGTTCGTTACCAGTGTTGTCAGATTACGGTGCCATAAGTTTTGAGTTTCTCAAAATATATATCTATCACATAAGAATGGAGATGTGTTAAGTATGATCGCTTGATACACTATCAGTATGGAGATAAACTTCTTGAACTTAATGAAATACCAAACTTTGATGGTGAGAATATTATATTTAACTTCACAAATAGTATCCCCATGGTGCTAGGTTTTTCTTGAAAGGTTTATAAATGCTCATCTGTTCAGCCCAAAGTTTCATTACTGTTCACAGAAGCCTGCCATTTTAAGTGAAGAGCACAAATGAAGCTCCTCATTATGTAATTTTCTCCATCATCCTGTTTCTTTGTTATCCTATGTCCATATATTCTGCTCAGCACTGGGAGATTTAATTATATGCTGTAGGCTTGAATACTGTGAGTCTTATTAGAAAAGTGTATTTTCCAAATATAATTTTGCATATAATCTGTCTTAATGTTTATTTATTACAGATGCAAATGCAATGTTGTGAATATAATCTTACTATGTATACATGTACTATAACATATATAAATTATATTTCCTTGTATTTTATTAAATATTGGTATCAACATTCAGCAACATTTCATCATGCCAACTAGGGAACATTTGTTGCATCCAACATGGATAAAAAAGTGGGATTGATTGAATGTGTATGGTAATGCTCATACCAAGAGTTTGTGAATTGTTCATGAAATGCTGATGGCATTTATGGTTATATGTCAAGATACAGGTATAGCCTATCTTACGTATAGTATGTGAATATGAGTATGTTTTGTAGGTACTTCCAAGCAGGTGGAAATCCTGAGCAAGTTATTGAACTTTTGTCTCACAACTACAGTGCTGTGGCACAGATGGCAAATCTCCTTGCTGAGTGGCTTATTCTTGGAGGTGAGATTTGTTAAATATTTGTTGAAAGGAAAAGAAATACATTTAATGAAATTGGATGGATGGATGATGGTTATTTATGTAGGATTTGAGGTTTTCACGGTGGTGAGTCTGAAGACAGCCATCTTAATGGTTATTTATGTTACATAACCATGATATTGGTATAGCCCTTATCAACTTGCACCAACCTTAATCCTTCATCATTGTCATAAAGTAGACGGTATGGTTTGTAACATGTACAACATAGTAGGAACGTTTTGGATGGTGTGCAGTATCTTCATATTTTTATCTTTGAAACATTGTTTTATTTTATACTGAAAAAACTGATCACCTGAGGGGACTATGTTTAATTTCTTCCTGTGGTTCTCTTATTGTTATTGTTGTAGCTGGAGTTGTAACCATCAGCAGAAGCAGCAGAACTGTTTGATTATGATTATGATTATTCCTCTTCTATAATGTTTCCTTTTAACACTACTTTAGCTCAATGCAAATTTTGCCTTGAATAAGTCATGTATGAAGGTCAATTTGATCTTCTTTGTTGATGAGTGGTATCAGAATAAAATATAACCTCAACATTTCAGAGATTGCCTCTTTTTTGAAAACATTGGAATTTTATTCCATATTAAATGGCTGATCACCTGAGAAAACTTTATTGCATTTACTTTCCATAACAACTTCAGACTATATAATTATGAGATATTTATCATTTTATATTGTTTATTTTACTGTAGTATTCTTTTTACTGTATAATTTTCTCTTTTAACTTTACTTCTCAACTGGTTAAAAACATGAAACAAGTTCAAAACACTTGTTCCTAGAGGCACCTGGTCATAAATTTTGAAACGTAAATGGTATAGCAGTATCTGCACTGTTGATGTATTAAAGAGTACAATGTTAAAATATAGATGGGATATGTTTCTTTTATTAAGTGCAACAAGCACAATGGAAAGTGTTTCTTTTTAAAAAGTTAAGTGTATTTATTTACATTTTACTCTTTTAGAATTGTAGTATCATTTTTGACTGTAAACTGATATTTAATTTTATTTAATAGGAGTAAAGGTGACTGATGTTCAAGCAATGGTTGAAAACCACCTCAAGGATCTGATTCTCAAGACATTTGATCCAAAGAAAGCAGATACAATTTTCACAGAAGAGGGTGAAGTAAGTTTGAATGTATATGATAGTACCATGAAGGTCCTGGTCATTTTGTTTATTTAAAGGCCACATTACATGTCAAAACTGGTTTGAATTGTCATAGTGGTACCAGTATTGAACATAACTTGTAGCCTCATCTTGTTTGTAGTTCCTTTTCAGATTAAGGCAGCTCAAATGAATATGATGTAAAGATGTCCATTTTAATTAGTAATGTTCCGTATTGAAAATATAAATCAGATCAGTCATTCCAAAGTAAAAAGTGTTTGCATGCATTTCTTGTGAGAAATGATGGTGGTCGGAGGTATTGTATATAGTTTGAAGACCTCATTTAGATGTACACCCAGATTTGACCCTTTTATTTGACAAATTTAGTTATTTTACATTATTTCATAAGAAGGCAGATTCAGAACTAGAAGGGAACACTGACTGGCCAAATATACAGTTTGTTGAAGCATCAGTAAATTAGTTAACTGCCCAAAAGATATTACTTGGAAGACATGAATGTTTTTGATAACCATTTACACACTAGTCTTTTTGAGTGCTTTAGCAAGGAGAATTTTTCCATTGAATGTTGATTCTGGCTCATGGGACAAGATGGCATCCATTGTGTACAGCATTGAAGTGTAAATGGGATCACTCCACAAACAGATTGCATGAGACTCATAGTGTCTGAACTTTCAATCTACTGCTTGTTGGATCACATATTGATAAATAATTTGTGCAAAACCAAATGAAAATATAACGTTTATATGAAAAAATTCCCCGAAAGCAATGTCATTGCAGATTTTTGTCACTGTTATAATTTGGGTTGATTTTATGTTTAGTTTTTTAAGTCTGGATTCAAGTTGTTGATGTGCTTACAGATACAAATTGCCTGTGCAGCTGAGTGAACTTTTAACCCAGAAATAAGTCAACAAATCAGTGCATGTTATATTTATTATACAATGAGGGAAATAAAAGTAGGTTGTCAATACAATGATTGTCATGTTGTACTTACACAGACTCCTGCCTGGTTAACAGAGATGATAGAACATCCCACGTGGCGCTCTCTCATCTATCGACTGGCTGAAGAGTACCCTGACTGCCTTATGCTAAACTTTACTATCAAGGTTTGTCTTTGCTTGCAGCTTTTGTTTCTTTACATGAAGCACATAAAATTTATACATAGGAAAGGCTGTGTCTTGATGCATACCCACATTTTATCTCTGAAAATACTGAACAGGTTTTGATGGATTTGATATATTGAAGCTGACAGGAACATTTAAGTTTGGTTTTTATCTTTCTTATCTCTCTCTCTCTTTTTGTTTTCTTGGCTTTCCTTGAAAGCAGCTCATTGTACAAAAAGAAATTTCAGAACTAGATTTCATGAAGATCTACAAGTTTTATTTAGAGCATTTTTTTATGATGTGTGTATTTAATGTACCACAATTTAAACAAATTGTGTAGTATTCTTCATTTGTATAAAGTGAAGCTTTCATGATGACTGAAGCTGATGAAGGATTCTTTTGCTACAAGCTGCATCAGGTGGCTGAAAGGTGAATAAACCATATCTTCTGCCAACGTTTCGAGAACAATCTCTGTTCTCATCCTCAAGGCTGTTGGGTAACCAGTCCGTTCCTTGGCAGAAGATATGGTTTAATCACCTTTGAGCCACCTGATGCGGCTTGTAGCCCGAGAGTCTTTCATCAGTATTTTTATGTATAATGTGAAGTATTCTTCATTGTTCTCTATTAGCAATTTTAGAGTTTATTTTTATACTTGCTTTTATCAGAATATTTGTGTATGGTTCCAGAAGCAAAGAGTGAAAACTAGTGAAAAATTTCTGTGCCTCTAATAAGCAGTGTGTACTTATAATTTTAATGCAGTGGTTGAAATAAAAAAATAATGTAACTGAAAATGGTTTGCTTAAATATTTATTGTTCCCTTTTAATTTAATTTTGTTCTCTACTGTACTTCCTGCAGTGTATCTCTGAAAAAGAATGTTTCTTTAAGAAGTGTGAAAGAATTGCCTGGCCTCTGAAATGTTTAATGCACAACTGATAAAAAGAAAAGAAAGAAATAGAATGAAAATGTGTTTTGCTCAGTAACAATGTAGTGTATGTATCTAGTAGGAATTTCTGATTTTCTGATTTGAATCAAGAACGTTTTGGGTATGTAATTGGAAATTGTTATTTATCTACAATTAATTACCTGTGTTTCTGACAAACAGAATATTTCCAGGTTCCTCGGGATTCTGTTGTAAGCACATTTTATTATAAGTGCTTATTTTTTTTGCAGCTGATATCTGATGCAGGATTCCAGGGAGAGATTACCAGCATCTCAACAGCTGCCCAACAGATTGAAGTCTTTTCTCGTGTTCTCAAAACTACCATCTCAAGCTTCCTCCAAAGTTCAGAAGACTGGCAAAACAGTATTTTGGAGTGTGCAGTGAGTGTTATTGAATTATTCTGTCTTTATGTATTTTTTGTTAATATATCAACTTCTGATTCTTATAGTCTGGAATATTTCTGTTTCTTGTCTGCTTTCTTGTTTTGGAAGGAAAAATGGGTTTATGATGTTATCAGGTGTGTGTGTGTGTGCACGCGCGTGCACATACACTTGCATGCACATGCATTCCCCCCATAATAACTTCTCAGCCACTTGACAGATTTTCCTGAAAATTTCTTTGAACATAATGCCATTTCAGGCCACTGTATTTCTACTTTTAAATTCCTGTGATCAGTAATACCAACATGGTAGTGGTTTGAACTTCTGAGAAGGGAATTACACTAACATTGTTCATATATTGTGTCGTAATAGATCTTAAACAAATATGCATTTTTTAAGTTCTTTTGTAGAATACAATGTGATGGTATAGCTATTATGCTATATATGTATTTAAATCTGTAATGACAGTATCATTGCATCAATACTAGATAGTGAAAATAAAAATCTTATTCTCAAACTGAACTAACAATATCTTCCACAGAATTCTTGCTTTGTCTGCTCTCAGACAAGAATTTGAACTAATAGATAAGCTTTTGTATGTGTCATTTTAATATAATTCTTTGTTGATTTGGAATTCATAATTAAGTCAACCATTTGAGAAATTTATCTCTTTTTTAATCATTGCTATGGAATGTGATTTTGCTTTTCAAAATAATTTTTCTCTTTATTCTCTTTGCTTCATGGAATAAACAACTTCTTGTCTGTATCCTCAGATTCTAGTGATGTCTTGGTCTTTGACACACTCTTTGCCAAATAGGTTTATAATTCCATGCTGTTTTCTACCATCTGTCTTCACAGCATTCTACATACATGATCTTCCCATTTGTTCCTATACAAAGTAATTTCTTTAAGTGTTGTATTAACCTTTAACATCTCAGATATTTTGATATTTCTGGTTTTCTCTAATCATGTATAACAAACAGTTGTTTTAATAATATTAAAAATGTTACAGAAAATGGTGTGCCATGGACAGCACACATATGTGTACAGTCAGGTATTACTGCAGGTCCTGTCCCAAGAACCAAAGGGTGGCTCAAACATGAAGCGGCTGTCACAGGAGATTACCCGCTGTGCCCAGCAAAAGTAAAAATCTGTTTATTAACTGTCATTATCATTCATTATCACAACACTGATCATCACTGTTGATTTGTCTTTACTCCTGCTTCATGTTTCAGAGATCCTGGGTTTTATTTTTGAACTAGAGGCCAGTTATCCTGGTCAGGTTTAATGTTTTTCTTCAGTCACTCACTCCAGACTAATGATAGGATGATACCTTGACATAAGCCATGACTATTTCCTAATTCTTACCTACTCTCCATTCACGATCATCTTCAGATTTAATTAAAAGCTATTTAGCTTCTGTTAAAATGGTAGTGTTAAATAAGCTATGAATAATTCAATTCAATGAGTCTACTAACATAATTCTAATGTCTTGCGACAATAATACTGTGTTGAACTCAGTTTATGATCCTTCATTATTATTCATGCATATTTGGTAATTGTGTTAATCTCAGTTATTATCACCATGGTGCCTGATATGTGGTTTTATAAAAATTAATAAAAAGTGTGTATTTTTAGCATATTTTCCTTATTTTGTAAGGACAGGAAAGAATATATCGTGTGTGTGCGTGCACACACTAGAGCATATAATAGACCATTGTTTACTTAGTCCTTATGTCTAGAATGTGTGGAGCATTTTTTACACTCCACCCTCATTTGTCAACATGCTTCCTGGAGACTGAACCTGGAGTCCATCTAGACTCTTATTCTATGGGTTTGGGGGTGGGGTCTGGCCACTCACTCTAGAATGTGTAGAGGTTTACTTCTATGTCCTTTATGTGCCTTCTTGGCATACTGCTTAGGCATAGGGGCAACATTATTGCTTTATTATTCTTTTTTGTGGCAGCCAGCATGATGTGACTCCCATCACAATGGCACTAAATGGTGCTGCAAGGTTTCCACAAGCATGTCAGGCCCTCCTGTCCATGCTGTCACGCAATGCTCTGAACCCGGCAGACATCACGGTGTTATTTCGAAACTATTCTGCCATGGATCCACCTCCTATTGACTTGATCCGAACTCCTCAGTTCCTGGGTGAGTGCAATGTGAAATCTGTCATGTACTGCATTGAATCATGAAGTTTCTTGGCTGTGGTAGTTTCAATTTGGTAATAACTATACAATATGTAAACTAAAAAATAATATGAACTCTGTAACACATGAAAGTCAGCGAGGAACTGTATCAATTATTACCTTCTCCTCGTATTGTTGTGCCAGCTGTCTGATAAGAAAAGTCACCATTGGAATGATCCTAAGGTACTTGTACCCACTTTCTGTCTCCTTGATCTTACATGTGTTCTGTTTTCAAGATGTTTCTCCCACAAAATTTTAGTATGTCTTCCCCATCAAAATAATATATCTAGTCCATTATGTACCTCCTTGTTTTTATTACCCTAACAATGCTAGATGATTTATAAAGATCACAAAGTTCCTTTTTGTGTAATATCCTTAACTGTCTGCTGTCTTCCTTAGAAGTAAACCATTACAGAAAATTGTGGGCAACTGCTTTATCCTTTGTCCACAGTCCACTTTCATGATAACATTCTCCAAAGAGGTGATAGGGGATATACCTGTTAAATGCCAAAGATATGAGAGCAAAAGCAATCAGTTTTTTTAGCTACTTACATTGGTGAGATATTGCATAGAAATGGTTAAAAGCATAATTTAATTGCCAAACATTACAGTTGAGTGGTTGTTGTTCTACTTTGTATGTAAGAAGTTTAGGTTTGGCTACTGCCATGGAGGTTGGCTATCGTTATCGAGATTTTTGTGGCAGTTCTCTGTCCCTCAAGCACATGCTGGGAAAGTACCTTCAGAAGTGCCAAGACCACTTCCACATCTATTGCAATTCATCATATAAATTGATTGGATCAAATCATATTTTAGTTCTTTGAAATATGTGAAACTATCCATTAGATTTAACGATATTTCAAATGTATTATAACTTGCACCTTTCCGGCCATAAGGTACTGTAACTTTCTCGTCAGTCGGTAACAGTACATTTAGAAACAACGCAAGGTTTGTGTAAATTAGTGAAAACACTAATATATTGTGTTTGTTGCAGAGCTGCTGGTAGACTCTCTGTTTAAACCAGGTGTAAAACTGAATCCAGAGCACAAACCGAAGTATATCTATCTACTGGCTTATGCTGCCAGTGTGTGTGAAGTTGCATCTGGCAAGAAGGGACAGTCAGTACGCAAGACACTCAATAAGGATGAGTTGAAGGCCACAGTCCAGGCCATTGAGAAGGTTCATAGCATTTGTAACAGAACTCATAGCTGAGCTGAGCACACTGTATCAATGCATCAGGTAAGAATCAATAATAATAGGTCAGTGATACCAACCTTTTATGATTCACAGATTGTTAAACAATAGTGAACTTTCTGAGATCCATTATTTTATTATTGAATTATAGTGAATATTTAATTAAATACAAGGAAAATTAATTTCTTACTGGACTACTGCATATTGGATGTGAAATTGGTTTTGTGGCAGTAGTTTGTATTTAAAAATTGTACTTCCATTTTGAATACATCTTCCGACTCTTCTAGCTTGATAAATGCAAAAGTGTATAAAAAGACTTGCTGTGTGTTGGCATTTATTTAAAATATATAAAATCATTCATACAAACAAAACTGTTTATACTTTGAAAAACAGTGCCAAACGTGTTTTGACCTCATGAGGTATGATTTAATAGACAGACTAATGAATTGATGTTTTTGCCACCGATGATGACCTCATGAGGTCGAAACGCATTTGGCACTAAGTGTTTTTCAAAGTGTAAACAGTTTTGTTTGTATGCATGCATGATTTTATATATTTTAGATTAGTATTCAGCACTGTACAGTATGCAAGGTTTTAAAATGTGTGTTGGCAGATTTCCTGTAGTATCAGTTGGTGTGGTGCGTTGGGTGGAAAGTACAGTCACAGAGCCAAGCTATTTCAAACTCTGTACAGAACACACTCCAATTCACTTGGCTCTTCTTGATGAGGTCGTCACATGTCACCTCCTGCTTCATCCAAAAGTCCTGCAGCTGTTAATTCAGCTGTTTGAATCAAAACAGGATGAACTGGAGATTCTGGTACAGGTGTGTGCATGCCTCTTTGCCAGGCTTTTTCTGTTGGTTTGGAATATGATGGAACATTCATACAAGATAAACTTATGAAAACTGTGAGCTTCTTTTGAGAAACTTTATACATCTAGCTTTCAGAATACTAAAGATTAGCATATATAAAACTAATTTTGCCAGTTTTGTATGTTTGTGAAATGTGGTATCTTGCTTTGAGGAAGAACATGTATTACATTTGTTTGGAAACAAAGTTTGAACTAAAATATTTGTATTTAAGAGGGATGAAGTAAGTGAGCAGTTTAGGGTGTTGCATAACAAAGAACTTCATGGTTTATATAGGCCAACTAGTGTATTTGGGATAGTGAAATTTTTGAGGGTACAGTGATCTAGGATAGTAGAGACAAGTAATGCATATTATGTTGCAATTTGTATAGTTGGAGATGAGAAAAATGCTGCTGGACCGCATGGTGAATTTGTTGAGTCGAGGCTGTGTAGTGCCAGTGGTGAAGTACATAAAGCAGTGTTGGTTACGTGGCGACACTGACATATCCCTCATACGCTACTTTGTCACAGAGGTAAGTGCTTACTGGGCAGTTGGTGAGGTTTACTTGCATTTTCCTCAGTTGGAAAGGATCTGGAGCTATAGCCAGGATGTAAACCCAGGACCTCTCAAATATGAAGCAGGAGCTGATACAGGATGTTGAAGATTAGTAGTGTTGCAGTTGGGATGCAGACCTACTGCTTGTTAGACCCTGAATGGAATCTTAATCATTGTATTATGGAAGTGATTGTTATGAAGATTATTAAAAATAAAGATTTTGAAAAAATAACTATTTGCTAAACAAAGACACGGTAGGGTAGACAGAAATATAGGATAGTGATTGTCATAGGATAACCCACCATAATGTAAATTTAATTGAATGGTTATGATGCCGCTGAGTGTTCTGTTGTTATGGCTGATCAATCTGCTTTTAATTAATATACTAAATTGCTCTCTTATGTTACAGGTGCTAGAAGCGATTGCACCACCATATACACCTGAATTTGTGCAGCTTTTCTTACCTATGGTTGAAAATGAAGAAATCACTGGCACAATGAGAGGAGATGGAGAGAATGATCTTGTCTCAGAGTTCATTGGTAAGCAATACCATGGCCAAAACACATATTCCTTATAAATATTATTGAAATTAGTTTAAATGTATGTTGCTGATTGTGATGCAACTTTATGCATTCCATGCCTTAGTTTCATTAATATTACACTCCATAAAGGCCTAATTACATTCTTGGACTTATCTCATTTGCTCAGAGATAAATGTGTCCATCAAATATACATGCATTAGGTCTCATATATTTTAATAAAACTCTTGTGTTTTAAAAACATCACTGTATAATACCTGTGTAGTGTACACCCTTTAAAGTATTGTCCAAGCTTCTGTGATTTCCTTCTCATCAAGCTGATGTTTACTAAATTTTTAACACGCTGAATATACGTACACAGCAGACAAGAGTGATGCACAACTTACCCTGTTGTTGCTGGATGTTGTCTCATGTTATAATAGTGGATTTTGTTGTTTCTAAGGAAAGCTTTGTTTCCTGTTTCAGTTCACTGCAAGGCACACTACACGATCCTGTAAATCAAGACTTCTCATCATATTTCCAATTTCCAGCTTCAGGGTCATTTGATATTGAGCAAGCTTAAGATTTTTGATACATATTTGGCTTCCAAGCTGATCATTCCTCTTAATTTTATGTAGTAAACTCAGCGAGTTGCTAGTTCTGTTTGCATAGCACACACTTGCACGTGGGCATTTTTCTGAAATTTTTGTATGAAAATGTCATGTTTATGTCATATCTGAGGCTTTGTTTTTGGATAGTAAAACATGTTATGCATATCAAAAAACATGAGACGCCACAATGAGGGTGATGAAATCTGGACGTTGGTAATATTTGTGTCACTGCCTTTCTTTTATAAGTCACCATCAACATACTTGCCATGTTAGCAGTATTTTTCAAATCAAACTACTGTCCACAGACCAGGGGAAAAGCCCTGTGTGTGTGTGTGTGTGTGGGGGGGGGGGAAGTTGGTTCCAGTGCGGTGCAGGGGGAATGTTTCTTATCAGCTGGACTAGAGGGCTGCTATTGGTGGGAAGTGTGACACGTCAGAGTTTTACACTACTACACACAGACTGAAAACATCAAGCCGTTAAGAGTAGCGTGTAGTGGGTGCGCCTGTAATGTGTTCTGTGGGGGTTGTGATAATATTCTAGATTAAATCACCGTGCCACTGTGAGGTAATCTTAAAGCTGTACCCATTTGAACACATGAAAGCCTGTTGTCCGTTGTTCGTTCAGTGGTTGTGGAACGAATGCTTTTAGGATGGGTCGTCACTCACCGTGAAATCTTGCGCAAGCGTGTATAACGAATTCCTAGCAGGGCTTCTCTCCTGGTCTGTGGACTGTAGATAGTACAATATTCCTTTATCAGGGTGAAGCCCTGATGTTATAAGCATCTCTGAAATGTTGGTTAGTTCCTACCACACTGCACGGTGCAATATTCCAGAAGTTTGGAATCATAGGATTTTGGACTTCTTCTTCTTCTTATTATGCGTCACTTGTACATCCTCATGTGTGTACCGAATACAAAGTTTATTATGGAAGCTTTGTGTCAAAAGCAAAATGTCACATCAGAAAAAAAGCAACATTTGGCTATTCTGACCACACAGCTCTATGCAGCGGTCTGTGACAAGCTGGTAATCACTTAGAAAGTCAAAAAGTTACTCACCTTTTATACAACCTGAAGTTTCACAGTCATTGACCCTAGCCTAAGCCACATGATTCAATTCATATCATCACATCATACTTCTTTAGAATTCATTTTAACATTAACTTTCATAACAAAATGAAGGAAATAATAATAAAATGAAGCCCAAATAAGTTTTGATTTTAATTATGAAATGAAAAGATACTAAAATTGAGACTACTACTTTGGTCTTCAGGTGAAAGGAGGGCAAGAGCCTGTGGAGGGAGTCCAAGAAAATAATTGTACACAGCGTTCTGCACCATTATCAAAAATGTTAAACTTAGGTTAAAAAACTGGTTTCTTGTTAGTGTATCCTTCAGTGGTTTTATGTTTAGGCTATGAAGGTGTATATTGAACATGGAGGCAGAACTACTCATTATAGACAACTGTGTAAACATTGAGGTGAGTATCAGCTCTGATCAATTTGTTTCCACCAAAATACGTTTGTTTATTTAATTATATTATAATGACCTTTTGTTTTATTTAGTTTCTTGTCTGTATCATAGGCTACATGGGATCCAGTGATGGGGAAATTGTTAATGACATATTTAAAGAATATAGAATGGTAGTCATACTTTGAGGCACTATAGCAACATATTAATCCAGGGACTGATAAAAATCGTTTTAAATGCGGGATAACCAACCCATCATCTGAGATTTGAACATGGAAGCTCATGGACACAAAGTAGGGCTACTTAATACAGTGGCACTCGGTCCACTCTGCAGCCGACCCAGTGCCCACTCGACATCAACTGGGCAGAGCGAGTAGAAACATCATCTAGCCACAAGCAACACCTAAATCCCCAGCAGAGCAAATATTTTTTCTTCTCCTCCACGTTCTTATCTGTTTTGGAGTGGTTTATGTTGGAAGCTGACCACTTTCTCCAAGTAGCAGCGAAGTCTAGAATGAGTAGATCTTTACCCCAGGTCCCTATGACAGGGGTGGAAATGATTTTCAGAATTAGGTGCATTCTTTAGATCAGCAGAGAGGCCCTGGGAAATGACTAGCATGTGTTACAAAGAAAATTGCTAAATGCAGGTACAGAAATTTGTTCCGAAAGTACATGTGTCATTGATGAGAACCATATTTATGATGTCTTAAACACTGGACATAGCTGAGTTGCAACAAATTCGTACTGGAACTATATGGAAAGCGCCCACCAGTTTCTAACTACGCCCATTTTCAACCCTGTTCTATAGCACTTCCAAAGCATAATACTTACATTTAGCAATTTAAACTCTAGACCATAAACACTGAAGCCCCACATGATGTAACTTTCTTTATTATCTTGTTCATTTATCTCTGATGTCCATAAATTCTCATCAGCACATTTTTCCCCTATGTTATTCATGTAGAGTGAGACCAAATGCAACCAAACAGTAGTTTTCGTATATATGTATTTATCTAATTTTAAAATTCAGAACAAATGCGACCAACTCAAGTTTAGGAACGTCTTTATGAATTATGTTGTCGATCTTTGAATGTTTACATATTTTACACTAAGCGCCACTGTATCACTTGCACGTTTGACATAGGGTGGCATCTTCCGGTTGAAATTAAATGAAGATCCAGTACTAATTCGACATCGCGCCAAATTGCATCATAAAGGTGTTGCACGACGTAGGTTATAGAGGTTATGGAAGCTTAGCAATCTGCCTGTCGAATTTTTTGTTTTTGCGTAGGCTAAATGTGTCGTATGATAGAACAGCATCTAGTTTTAGGAGTTTTATTAACTAAACGACTTGCAAGTATTTAAATTAAATTCAATCAAAAAGTTTCAGACTGCCATACATTACTTTGCTGATTGAACAGTGGTCAGTAGACTTGATGCTTCGTATTTGTGTCGTTTGTAACAGTAACAACTATTTATCATAACTTTGATAATAATATTGTAAAACTGACATTTAGAATAACTTATACGTAGATTATGTATTGCCAGGCTAAATGTTGCGTAAGTACTATTTATGATATCCATTAACGTTGAGGAGTAAACAGATATTTTACACTACTTTGGGCTACCAACAAGCGGACAAACACGATACAAAACAAGTAAAGAATTCCAACATTATTTACAGTTTGTGCAGAAAATGTTGTTGGTAGAATTAATCATTATGAAAACCACACATAATAAACATAAAAACAATTAAGAACTTTTAAATGTCGTCGGCAATCAAAAATAAACAAATATGTAAATACAGTAGATTTTGTTTAATTGGGCCATCGGTTATTCGGGGCAGCCGTTTATTTGCGACAAATCTTCAAGAAAAAACCTTTTTAACTCTACGTGGAACTTCGCATAATTGGGGTAGCCGCTTAACTGGGCCAAACTGTTCTAGTCCCGATGTGTCCCAATTAACCGGAATTCACTGTAAATAAATATTTAAGCAGTTACTAGATATTTAACCGGTTAGAAAGTTATCCGGTTTAACAGAGCACATAGGTTCACGTTTTCCGACCAAAATTTTATATACAACTCACGTTTTTATTATAACAATAATGTGCATATTACATTTAACGTGACGTCAGAGTTTATATAAAATTATTTTATGGGAAGTTCCACTTATGAATGTTAAAAATACTAGTCTATCTGCTAGACTAACACACTAACAAAACTAATGATTTTTCTTTATTTGCTTGTGGGGTTTCTTTCATATGCGTCACCGGCAAACACTAACACAATTTGTACGTTCATGTGTGTCCATTTCCGTCTTCTGGTGGTTCAGGATTAAAATAAAATTTCATATCCCCTAAAAGGGTTTAATAAACTTTGGGTGCACTAGCTATATTAATTTATTTGAATATTAATACTGATACAGAATCTTGATGTCGAATAAACAAGCTTCAGTCACACCATTGTTTATTATATTGTGAAACGCGGTGTAGTTCTGGTTTGCAGAAAATGAACAAAATTTATTTTTAACATGTGTAGATACTTTGGAAATATTGTAATTATAATTTGTCGCCTTCATTTCAGGCATTCTGTTATCGTGAGGTTTCTTATGACTTTCTTCAGCAAGTCTTACTAAAATAAAGTATCGTCATATCTTGTTGAACACAGGAAGTACTTTCATACAAAATTGTTTCTATTCAGTTATGTTCAATTTTAGCGTGTAACGTGAAAACTATTCGCTTACTGAACAAACGTACCAGTTCACCTGACGCCATTTGGACATAACCTCAAAAATACGTCATAATTTATCCTTATATAGCAAATGTTTCAATAAATTACCGAAGGTAGTTAAATACGCTTACTTGTATCACCAGCAATCAAAAGTTACGAAATTTTTAACTTTAATAAGTACAACGTTTACAGGCAAATTACCTCTGTGGCAGGCAGGTTGGCAGTTCGTGGTTCGCGTGTGTACGAGAGTGAATGCAGGCTTTTTGGCTGTTGTTATGTGGAACTTTTCTACGAAGAAAGGAGACAATATTATTAATGTGACTGTTTATCCATATATACATTTCGTGGAATTCTTCTGTTTTGAAATATTAAGCCACTGTCTTTAAAAATAAAGATTCCATTAGTAGCGTCTGTAGTGATCGCACAGATACGATATTGCTTGAGGCTACAAAATTGTGATGTCTAGGCGTTTGTCTTCCAGCACTTGCTGATAAAGTGTTGTGCTGTGATCTTCGTGTGTGTGCACGATTGTTACAAGAGAGTGTTTATAATACAGTGCTGTGCCATTTTCTTGGATTTTGTCAACGGCAGCAACGTTCCAGTGGAAGCAGCAGTGTTCATTCGAGGTAGACGTGGAACGAGGGACCATGGCGAAAGGAGCAACGCGCGAACGGTAACGTTAAAATAAAACAGTTTTTTTGCCGAACTCTTAGTTGTTGAGGAACCATCCGCAGGAGGATGGGCTGTGTACTTGTAGCAAATGAGGTACGCCATAACATCGACACGGTCTTATATCAGTCCGGCCTCAGGCTGGTCATGATAATAACATAGTACTGTGTCAGGCAACTTTGTGTTTGAAGCGGTAGCCGTCATGACAAAGGGCTTAGGTTAATGCCAAGTTAGCAACCCTATGAACTTTGCTTTTTCTAGTTATTTTGTAAGTTGAATTTGTCCTCCCGTCTCCCCTGATAGGATAGGATTTGTGGACAGGTGGTGTGAACTCAGCTTTTGTGTTCAGTTTAGCCCGTGCAGGCAAAATGGACTTTCATGTAGGAGGGTTTAGTTTTAAGTATTTGTGTATTTTTTTAATAAACAGGTTCAGTCGGCAAGACCAATGAAATCAATGCGAGAAGGAGAGAGAGAAAACAAAAAAGAACTCTTGCAACCTCTGAATAACCCGCATTGCAGGGACAAAGATTCAACCAAGCCTAAAATATAATATTGTTTTTTGCGGGGAATGCAGAATTAGGTTCTATTTTGATAGAATAACCCTGTAATTTTTCCAGAATATTTCTGTATGTGAAATTCTTTTGGTCTAAAGAACTGCGGACATATCCCCACAAGTTTGTCGAGCATATCTCAAAATTCTGTACATTCAATTCATGTTACGCATGAATTTAGGAAATAAAATGATTGTTGCATGAGACAGAATAGATATTCCCCTCAATAGTACAAATTGCGTGATTGAAGATAGCTCGGAAACGTATGACAAGACGCCATATCCTACCATGAACACGACATGCAAGGATATGTGCCCCTATAGGGAAACTGGAAAACAAGAAAAGCGTAGACTTCGGTGATCAATCGGTAAGACAGTAAGCTATTATTCCGTACAAATCCCTACTTCCACCATATTTACGTCCTCACTTTCAATCGTAAATAATAATACTTTATGTTGAAATTTGTCGTTGAAAAATAATTAAAAGTATGTGTTCTCCATCTTTATTGTATTAACACGTTCAGCAATGGGTTGTAGCAAATAGTGATGTAGCAAATGACAGTTCACCTAGCGTGGATTAAAGATTAGGTCATCTGTTATATGTTTTTGAAGTATTATTTCAAAGTGGTGTTTAGAGTGGAAAATTAGTGCAAATTGCAAGTAACTGATAGAATAATACAGTTAATTCAATATATTTTGAAGTTATGGCTGATGAATGTGATAGTGAAGGAATTACGGATTCTCCTAAAAAAGGTATGATGGCTTATAAAGTGTTACGTTTGACAATTGTATTCTCCCAACAGTTTTTTACGTTACATAATCATGCTTTGCCTTTTTAACACACGTGCTTTTTTAAAACCACAGCGACTGTCGTAAGCGAGATGACAAAAACAGCCAATGGTGTATTAACACCAATAATTAATGCCAAAAATGCCATACATAAAGGCACAGGAGCCCAAAATTAAGACTTTAGAGACTAGGAATTTTATGCAATTAATCATAGCCGGAATTTCTAGTATGTGTAGTTCATTATAAATTGTAAATGAAAGTATCAGTTTTCAGTGACTATGTTGTTAAGGTTAGGTTGAATGTTCTTCCATATAAAAGGTTTAAATAAAACAATCAACGAATATTCTAAGAGGTGAAATTTCAGAATACAGTATGGATCCCCCTAAACTAAACTTTGGTAGAAACGATTGGACTAATTTAACCTAACCATAAAGTAGCATTTTGGAATCAGAAACTGGTCAAAGTCAGAATTGTTTCCTGCTATGATGTTGATCTCATCACTGATCCTCATGCAGTCACTGCGTTGTTCCTTCATCAGCATTCTTAGTATGTGTTGGCAGGGTGATTCAACTTATGAAACTGAGTATTATGTTGTTGCTACCAACGGACACACTTGTGTTGCAGTAATTTCTTATTAGTTTTCAGTCACTTTGCACAGTCTCCTGCACTGTTATTGTTCCACATTGTTGCAAGCTGTTAGTGTCAGTAGATCTTTTATGTTCAATTCATGGTCTTCTTTGATATACTTCACCACTTTAAAACCTTTCATACACTGTGCTGTCCTCTGGGATATGTTTACTTGCTGATGTAATGAAACAGAATAATTCCACAGACTGTTCATAGGGTCTGTGCATGTCTGAACATACAAACTTTTGTCTCTGATCTTTTTAAACTCATATAATCTTATTGGTTTTGTTATGTAAGGTAACTCATATAAGCTGATGAGAACATATTAGTCATCAATACATATATAGTTTTAAATTAAATAAAATGAGTTATGCTTTAAAGTGACTGCAAAATGATCATTATGTGAGTGTGACTTGGCTTGCACCAGCGATACAATTGTCTCTTTGAAATGTGTTTGTGGAATATCCTGTATTTACTCGTTACACATTTTCAGGACCGACACTGTCCACAAGTACGAGCAGTTTTGAAGCCCTTGACCCACATGATCCAAATCTAAGTCGTCTGGCAACTACAATGTTTCAGAAAACAGCTGATTACCTGTTTGGTGAATTGACAGCAACACAGGTGTGAATTATTGTCACCAAATTCTGAGTTTGGACACAATCCTGAGCCAGTTGCATCCATCATTTTCACAGACTTATTCCTTAAGATCCATCTTAACCTTCATCTGCCATGTGTCACAGGTTATACATGGATTAGCTGTCCATTTGCCACAATAGCGTACTACTAAACCACTTAACCATTTGTCGGACCTGCAGCCTTGTAGTATGCGGATTGAAATTTCCTATTCCCGTATAATAAAAGCTGATGTTATCCTCATATATCCTCTTCAGTTTTCCAAATGATTGCTGCAGTAACAATACTAAATGGCTCATATAAATTATGAAGTTCTATATTGTATAATTCTCAAAAATGTCTACTTATTCTTGGGATCAAATGTTTCTCTGCCAGCGTTGTATGTAGATACTTGTAATTTATGTTTCTATCTATTCTTCCTTCTACAGGAAGATTATAGGTTACTGGAGGCAATGAATCGAGCAACAATCTCTAAATACTCAGATATGAAACAGATTGCAGGCAATGTGGCTCGTACCATGATTGATCTGAATGACAAGTGTAAGTAACTTTCTGATAATAGAGCACAAATGTTCATTATCGCTAATACCTGAACTAGGTTTGCCAGCTTTTTAAACCCACAGTCAGTTCTGACAGATAATGTTCAGTTCCTTTTATAACAACTGAAACTGACATGTAAATTGATCTCTCGCTCACAGATGAGAGTCTGCAGCCTTATCTGGAACAGATAGACCAGATTGAAGACAGTGTTACAAAGCTTGAACAAGCAGCATACAAACTTGATGCATATTCTAAACGTCTGGAGGCAAGATTAAAGAATCTAGAGAAGCGATAGACACATTTCAAGTGTTTACACCATACTTGTGTGCCTGCAGCATGTGTGTGTCCAGCTTGATTTTCTTAAAAATTGGTCATTGTACACATGCAGAATATATTCTGTATTATCATTCTCTGCTTGTTATGTTTTGTTTGTGCCAGAGGTAGCCAGTAGAATAATAAGTTTTGTGTAGATATAATTTTGTAATAAGTAGGGTGGGTATTAAAAATTCTTGTCTATTGGTATAAATCTTTTTGTCATGTATGCATGCCCTAATGTCAATCACATGGAGTCTTTTTTTAATCTGTTGGTTTCATACATATTTCTTGTTAAATTTAGTTTGAGGTCTTGATGTTACCAGATATATGAATTTTTGGTTTTCTGTAACATATATGTACTTATAAATCATTAGATGACTTAAATCATTTCATGGTAAATTAGGAACTTCTGATGTAAAGGGTTGCCAGTGTAACTGGTGTAGTCCTTGATTTAAATTCTGATGACTTTGAGAAGAGGAAACCAGTCATGTTGGAATGACCATTAATATTTGCGAGGGGTATGATGACTTCTAAGTCGAGGGAAGCTATAAGTCACAGCTAAAAAGTTTCAAATTTCAGGATTTGTAGAAATTGTTTTGTGTCAAGAAAGGGGAGTAGGCCAACCCATATAGATGTGTATGTGTGTGTGTGTAAATTTTAGGTTTAGAATGAATTTAAGACTTCCATTATGAGGGACTTAGAAGAAGCTAAAGACTGGTTTTGAGGGATTTTGCTGTATGAGATTAGTGGAATTTTGTGCAATATTATGATACACATTCAGTGCAAGACACTGAAAAACAAATTTCATATTCATTTTAGAGCACATTTTTAGTCATTGTTTTGAATTCCCATGCCTAACACCAGGGCTTTGACGCTGACTCCGACCCCGACTCCTTCATAAAAGCTCAATATGTATTAATAAGGGTAAACCTACTAAAATGGTAAATGGCAGCATAAGAGATTTCATCACCACTACGTGAATCACCAGCCTACTTTTACGTGTAATGGTTATTGCAGAAATCAGTTGATTTGTAGACAGTTTGTATTGTTAAGGTACCGGAGCCAAAGTAAGAGATTTCATCACCACTACGTGAATCACCAGCCTACTTTTACGTGTAATGGTTATTGCAGAAATCAGTTGATTTGTAGACAGTTTGTATTGTTAAGGTACCGGAGCCAAAGTAACAAAGCATTATTCCCACACAATGTGGCTCAACGCGTCGTTGAATTCCCTAAAATGTGAGGCTGCCGGCGGCTCACACGGAATAAAAATTGTTTTTAAGAGTTTATATCGAGTTTGAAGTCGGTGTCGGTACATTTTTGCCGACTCCACCTAACATTGCTTCCGACTTCGACTCTGACTCCACAGCCCTGCCTAACACCATTACTTGTAAAAATACCTCATTGATTTTACCCCGTTTTATTCTGGTCCTGAGCTTTAGAAGTTTTGTTTCACTGATAAATATTTGCTTATTGCCATGTGAGGTTGAGTTTTCTCACATGTTACATGTAAAAGCTGATTGATAGAGGTTAAATTTTGTAGTGTGTTGGGAATGTTCAGCACCAGCATTTGAATGTGTATGAAGCCAATCCAGGCTTCTGTTAGTGTATAGTATGACCCAAGTGCTAATGCCAAATCTGAAAAATATGTATTAGGGGAGCCAGTTGGAAGAAATAAAGAAAAATTCTATAGTCAAAGAGATCAGTGAGATGGCATTGATTTGAATAGATGGTAGGATTTTTGCTGAGAACCTTGACCTTAGGTTAAAAGTGACCTGCCATTTTCTGTGTAGGATTCATATTATAAAAAAGTTGTCATTCTTCTGTCTTCATGAAATGTGTCATAAAAGTCAACATCTTATTTTTTGGTATGCATATTTACCCATTTATGTCAGCCATTTTTTGTCATTGAACCGTATTTGTGCAAAATGGCATTTCTCTCATGACCGAGACAGAATAGTAGGAATTAAGTCAATAATAGTTGTCATATATACCACTTGTTTAATATTTGTTTTATGTGTGACAAAATTAGTTCTTGAACATTTTGATCAAAGCCAACTGATAGTAATGATCCATTTACTGTTGATGAAGGTAATGGTCAGTCATTTATCATTGTGGTGGACTTCTTCTTGTATTAAGTGGTCCTGGAATTGGGCCAATGATGGGTAAAGGTTCATCCTTTTTCACCAAGTAACGAGTTGTCTGTTTGGTCCTGCAAAGAAAATAAAGCATTTGCTTATCCACATTGTCCATTTTATGAGGCTAAGTGGTGAGCATTTAGCTCATCGTCTTAACAGTGTAGGAATTATTGTATCAGTGAACCAAGATAGCCTATTCAGTAAAATCACCGGCTGCGTATTGGATAACCAAGGTTTGTTTTTTGGCAAGAGCAAGAATTTTTGTCTCTCCTAATTGTCTTTGGGGCCCACCCAGCATTCTATACGTTGGATACCAGAGTCTCTTCCCATCGGGAAGAAAAGTGTCTGGAGTGTGACATTAACGGACTCATTTAAATTTAATGCAGTGGTCTAGAATGGATGGAACTTTATTTTTATGTCTTCTATGTCTCTTTGTGTTGTGGAGCTTAGACACATCGACAACTTTGCTTTTAACTTTCCTTCATGTTGTTGGTGTTCTTGATCATTTTCATATTATGTACTCCACTGTGGTATTTACCTGTATCCATGCTTGTCAGCTGTGTACTCGGTGATCCGCAAAATTCCCTTTGGATCTATGAAACCAAACTTCCCTTTAACTCGTCCACTACGATCTCGAAACTCTTCACGGAAGGACTGGTATTGCATTAGCCCTAGAACATGATAGTCAAATACTGGTATTCTGTCAGTAATGAATATATGATATTAAGAATATTTGTATGATTTTACTCATTGCTAAATTATGAGTGTCACACATCATCAGAAACATTTACACTCTACATGTTTGAAATTTGTAATGTATGTCCATAATTTATGCCATTTTGAGGTGGCGCAATACCCAGAAGACTTTCCAATGAATATTTATTTTCAGTGACATATTAAAATTATGAATATGGCTGTCTTCTGGGTTGTAGAGCCATGTAATATGGTAGAAGTTTACCGACGTTTCAGAGGTCCTCCTCCATCATGAGGGTGATGATCACCCTGATGATGGAGGCAGCATGGACTACATGGCACTACAACCCAGAAGACAGCCATCTTTAGACTCATCTCTGTGAAAACCTCAAATCCTGCCTATTAAAATTATGTTATGAAATTACTGAAATTTGTGTTCTTCTGATAACGTGAAAGTTCATACTTATTCTCACCAGTATCATAACCAAAATGATAGGAGCCATCTAAAGCATTGAAAATCTTGAAGTGTGCATTAGAATTTGCTGGAATGGATACTGGAATGTGGTAGCGTTGCTCAGGAAATAGACAGTAGACACACAATCTGCCAACAAGTAGCTGTAACAATGCCATGATACAGGTTTGAAGTGTTTTTAGTTTGGGGTCATTTCATACATGCTGCAGAAATTACTATCTTCATATTGCAACCACTGAATGAAACTAACGTACCCTCCATGTAATGTAGTAGGATTAAAACAGTTAGTCATGTTTGATGGTTCTAATAAAAACATAATATATACTGAATACTGAATTCTGAATGATCGTTCTTCATGCAGTTGGAACTTACAATATTCACTTGTTTTCTGGAAGCAAACATTTTGATGTATATGAACATCATTTATCTCTGAAGTAAAAAGTATGTTGATTGAAAGGATGCTTCTTAGAACTTTATGCAGACATAACTTTTTTGTGTATTAACTGACTCTCTCACTCTCATGTAGTAAAACTCGAAGGTTCAACACTGCTAATACCAAAGCCCACCACTTGTCCCAGTCCTGAACAATTACCATTCGTCTTACATCTTTACATTTTATCTCCCTGAAATCCATCTGTTGTTGCCTTTTCATCTCCCCTGCCTTTACCATCAAAATTCAGTACAGTCCCATCCTATTATAAGTGTCTTGATTTAAATACCCTACTTTACTACGTATAGACCAGAGTTAATTCGGTATATGATTATTTTTACAAAACTTACGATATAGTTGACTTTATTTTGTTTACTTTCGTATTATAATTAGAAGTGCATGCAGAATTTCAGTCATAAAATCTAATCGAGACCTCTTGTAGGATCTAGTATGTGGGATGACATTTAAGAGGTCCTAAAGTAATAGGGTGGGCTAGATTTGTCTGGCTCAGGATACTAACCAGTGGCAGGCTGTTGTGAACACGTAATAAACTTCTGGTTACCCTTCAGTCCTTGAGAAGCCTGTATATGCATTGCATCGGGATATTTGTAATTGCAAGATATGCTATAAAAGAAGGGAATCTATTTGGCTAGCAGACGCGACTAAGAACTTCTCACTTGAAAGTATTCTATGGAGTTTATGTTATGACAAAAGACTACGATTCTATATTGAATAACACAGCAGAATTTCGCCCTTAAAATGTTTACGATAGTTATGTTGGATCCACTAACAAAATATCAACATGCTTACCAAAATGCCACTGTTCTACGACACGGAACGCTAGATTAGTCGGATCCTGGGATTAGACCGGTTTGATATAGTTGTTTTTTTTTTAATATGAAATGGGCTATAGGCCCGCATAGGCTACTTTCGAAAAGATGTAACAGTCTCAAACAGGGGCATGTGCCTTCTACACCAGGATGTTGCATGATGAGCAAGGCCCTCATTCAACCTTCGTTATAAGACCGGCAGCAAGGCCGGCAAGTGTGTCAAACCGCGGCCCTCGGACCACGCACGACGTAAGAAATACGAGACATCGTCATTTATATTTTCCCCTTTTGTTTCCTTATATATAGGTTTGTATCATATCGAAATATATTTCAGATACAAGTTGTATATCTTGAGATTTGTATGTTATATACAGATTCTTCATATGAAGAGGGTTTTTCAGAGAAGTAAAACGAAGTTGAATTTTGAACTTATGTAAAGTTAATGTGGGTTATATTGGCCCGCTAGGAACAAAAAGAAAACTCAGCGGGCAGTTTTTAGTTTGCTTCTCGGTAAACAACTATCGTTATCTGCTTACTACTTGTTACATACGGATGGACATATAAACCCGGCGTGTTATAATCACATAGTCGTACGGTGTTTTTTTCTGAAAGTTTGCGTTGTTAAATATACGCCACATCCAGACATGTCTCAAGTAATACATAAATCCCATTTAACTTGGAACCAGCAGCATCAGCGAGCGAACTGCTGGGAAATAAGTTGGTCACATCGCAGAACACAGCCGTCGGATGCTAGCAGGTGGGTTCCGAGTTGCTGAGATCTGTATTGTACATTCAGTGCAAATCTTTTGTATAATGGTTTTCATGAGGGAGAAATGGTAACATTCGATTTGATCTTTGTGGAATATAATGGACCGATACGGATCCAAATTAAATCCGCCGAATTACTTGAGTGTAATTCCCACGTTAGACATGAGGACATTAGTGAGAATTCAGTCAGAATAATCTGTTCTCCGGCCGGAATTCGAAGTCCCAAACATATGTTTGCGCGTTACCTCTGTTATAACTTGCTTGTACTCATTTGCATCCCGAGAGTCCTTTTAAAACACGTAATACTACTACAATTGTTCTAGTGCAACGGAACTTTGAACGTTATTAACCGTTTAGCCAGGTAACTAATCAAGAATCTAGCTAACCCATTGTACAAGGCGTGGTGGTGTAGCGGTCATTAAAGGTACAATTTGGCTGCACGCGACAGAGACAAGCGACCGAGGCAGGCGACAAAGACGGGAGACGGACACATCGCAGCTTGTCGCCACACACTTATGAGGTGGCGACCGAGACATGCGGCAAAGTGTTTGTTTTCTTTGTTTTGTTGAGACATACGTGCACATATTCTGTGAAAAATGAGTACAAAAATGCTTCTAAAAAGGTTACTCGAAGAATAAGAAGAAGATGATGTGTTGCTGTGTTATTTGTTGCGAAAGAAACAAAGAAAACCTATGAGTTCAATATTCAAAACCAGACGTGGAGAAGGATCTTTCTGTCGGTGGTCAGTGGTCGGTTTTCTGCTACTAATTCTACCAATTGCTCATCTTGGTCACCAGTAAATTTGATTTCTGCCATTGTTTTACTCAACAACACACGTGCTGCCTGAGCCCGTCGCGAGACACTACTGGTCCGAGAGCGGTCTCCTGTGCTTTGTCTCTGTCGCCTGTCTTTGTCTCGCGCTCGTAATTGTACTTCATACGATTGTACAGAGAACAGACAGGAAGCGACCAGTCTCGGTCTCGTAACTCTGTCGCCTGCCTCGGTCGCTTGTCTCTGTCGCGTGCAGCCAAATTGTACCTTAATACTGCTTCATATCGGGGATATCCACAGACCGAATATCCTCTGGTCAGGATTTTCCTGACATTCACGACTTGACGACTTTTAGTGGAACCATTTTTTGGTATTATGAATTTTGGCTAAATTTTAGGACAGACATTTCCTGACCACGTGCATTTTGATATGTGGAGTGTGAATAGATTTGCAATTGTAGATTTGTATTTTAAATTAATAAAGATTGAAGACAGCAAGTCATGCAAAAATCAACGCCGTTGATAATTTGTATACTCCATTGGAGTATGCCTTTGCTATTTGGTTTCAGCCGCATTTATCGCCAGTTGTATGAAATCGGATTAATAAAACTGGAAATTGGTTTTATGGAAAAATTCTGTTGTTTTAAATTGGAGGTTACACACGGATTTTAAATTATTTTTACGCTGGGAACGCTGTGGTGGTTATATACGAGCTGTGTAGTCACATACTGGTTTTATAAAAATGGTTAGAATAGGTTTACCATGCAGTCTGAAGCCTTCCTTCTGTCCTATTTGGTGTCATTTTTCATTAACTTCGTCTCAACTGGACTTACTGAGTCTGGAAAAAGTTGGACTCCTCGTGTAGAAAGATCGAAACATTTAATTTTGTATGTACATTAATTCTTTAGCAGTTCCGTAAACTCAGAGTGTGGACATGACGTACCTAACATCGTCTTCTCCTTTTTCGTCGACGTGACCATCATCACCAGAAGAACAAAAGCTTAGAGACTGATTCAAAGTAGTTTCTGAACAGCAAGAAACTGAGTACATGCAAACTGATTCAGTGTATGATCCGCCTAAGAGTTTAAGTACTTCACTATACATACAAGAACAAGTAGCCTTAGTGTAGCCATCGGCGTTTCCTGTTGTTGTAGAGTGTTTACAGCGAGAGGCGATGAGTTTACAGACTCCGTTGCATCCCATATAACAGCACATTACTTAATAATCACACGCGCGACATATAGTCCAGGTCGAGACACTAAGAATTCAGCAGCCTCTTTGTGATGCCAGTATCTTCTTCACTTCAAAATAAGGAATGAGAAATAAAGTGAGTTTTAGTCCTTGAGAACACTTTTCAGCCCTATCCCCACTTCTTCCCCACAACTCTGGTTATAATTTCCCCCTACTCTTCATGTTTTATACTACAACCCTTAATTTTAACCCTCTTTTAAAGTGCATTAATTGTAAGTATGTCTTTTGGTGTTAACATTTTATTCTTCAAATTATATGCATGTCAGTTCCTTATATTGAAAACCCACAATTCTGTTTTGTTAACTTGTTAACAGTTCTGACTTTCACTTGATATATACTCCCCCCCACTGCAGGTAAAATCATCACTTCTTATTTTGATACAGTCTGCTTCAGGCAAGCTGTTGAAACTCGAGGCAGATGCGAAGGGCAAGTTGAAGGTACAGACAAGCGCTTATCTGTTAGTTTGGGCGACCTCGATGAAATCCGAATGGAGAAATGTTATAAAGTTTACATTGACTGTTCTTTTGCATATTGCTATGGGATATGATTGTTGAGAAATAAATGTAAAACAGTTATGTTTAAGGTCTTTCCAGAAAACCGGAATCAGTGTACTCGCACTACGCACGTCCAGTAGCGTGCAGAAGTCGTCCTAAGTGGCTGCCTCAAGTTATTATTAAGCTCTGTCGAATTATATATGTATGAAACAAAAGATCGAAGCACACGCGTTTTCGAAATGCGTTCTGTGCCTGTTCTGCAGACTTCTTTGGTTTTGATGTTTGTGAATTGTAGACATAAGTGTATTATTGGGAAGCTAATCATACAGCACGTAGCAAGAAGTCAAAATATTTTCCCGTATTCCGTTAAATGTAGAAAAAAGCATTCGTGGTCTGTTTTAAGGTACTAATAAACTATTTCGACTTTAATTCGATGACATTAAAAACTGTCAAAATCTGACAATGGGTTAAATAACCTAAGAACCGTGTACCTCGCTGGTTAAGACAGAACGCTATCTCTGGAGCAATGGCTGTGAAATTGGAGTGCTTCTTCAAACCTCATTATGCGCAAGGTTGAAATTACGTCAGACGCTAGAATGTGGGTTGGGGGATTCCCTGAGATCTTAGCAGACAAAATGACCAATTTGTCTAGCTGGAATCTTGTCACAGGGTTTTCTTAGCCCAGAGGCCACTGACAATGACCTCTTTTTTTAAACGATCTCTTAGCCCAGAGGCCACTGACAATGACCGCTTTTTTTAAACGATCGTTTAACTTACTGAATCCCTAAATGCTATGATATGGAATGTTTATCGAAAAACTGATAGTTATTCAACTGACAATCTTCACTAAATATTAGTCTGTTAGGGTGATTAAATTAAGGAGAATGAGATTGGCTGGTCATGTAGCACGCCTGGAAGATATATTATATGCAGAAATTTAGTAAGAATTTAGAGGTATATGTCGGGCATTTTGGCTCAGGATAGGGTACAGTGGCGGATTGTTGTAAACAGGGTAAAAAACTTTCGGGTTCCGTAGAGTGCAGGGAATTTCTTGGTTAGCTGAGTGACTGTTAGATTCTCAAGGACTCTGCTCCATTGACTTTGTTTGCTAACAATTAAAAACATGCTATCGGTACGAAATCTTGGGGTTATATCTGAAAACGTTTAGCATATTGGAGATATCTGGTTATGGGAATTATGCATGTAAATAATGAGTTATATGGTTACTTATCAATATATAATTCCTGGGAGTGTCACAGATATAAGCATTTAGAAGAAGTAGCCCATAATAAGTTTTACCTGAACTACGAGGGTCGCTCATTAAATAATGCCCCACATTTTTTTTCTCAGCCAATAATGAAGATAGAAAAGTGTACTTTTACATGCTTGAGATTTGATGTTTCTCGCGTTCGTGTACGGAGTTTCAAATGATTCCAACCAATGGCGGAGCTGTAGTGAACTGTTAAAATGGCGTCTGTGAACGACTCTCGTTACAAGCAACGAGCTGTAATTGAATTCTTTTTTGCTGAAAAAGAAACGGTGGTGAACATTCATAAACGTTTGTGTGCTGTGTATGGAAGCTGTGCAGTCGATAGGAGCACCGTTGGTCGCTGGGCTAAGAGAGTTAAAGCTTCAGGAAGTGAAGAAACCGAGCTCCGTGATCTGCCGCGCTCTGGGCGTCCTGCCACAGCCACCACTCCAGACATGTTGAACCGCGCGGATGCCATTATTCGTGAGGATCGGCGCATCACAACTCGACAATTGGCCCAACAGCTTTCAGTCAGCAATGGAAGTGTAATTGCAATTATCCGGGCTCTTGCATATTCGAAGGTGTGCGCAAGATGGGTTCCACGAAGTCTCACAGCAGACCACAGGATTCAAAGGAAAACGATTTCTTCTGAATTGTTGGAGCGTTTTGATGCTGAGGGAGAGGTCTTTCTGTCCCGGATCATTACAGGTGACGAAACCTGGATACACCACTTTGAGCCAGAGACAAAAAGGCAGTCAATGGAGTGGCATCATCCTCTATCACCGAGAAAGAAGAAATTCAAGACAACTCCCTCCGCCGGAAAAGTCATGATGACTGTCTTTTGGGACAGTGATGGGGTCATTCTTGTGGATGTGATGCCAAGAGGTGCGCCCATCAATTCAGACGCGTACATCAGGACCCTGAAAACCCTCAAGAAGCGTTTTCGACGAGTTTGGCCTCACAAGCATCCAGCAGAAATTTTGCTCCTGCACGACAATGCACGCCCTCACACAAGTCCGAGAACCCGGGAAGAAATCACCAAATTGGGTTGGACGGTGCTACCCCATCCACCCTACAGTCCAGATCTGGCACCCTCCGACTTCCATCTCTTTGGGCCACTTAAAGATGCTATCCGCGGAACAAGATTTGAAGATGACGAGAGCGTGATTCAAGCAGTGAGGACATGGCTACGTGCACAGGACAAGAGCTGGTACCGGCAAGGCATGCACGCACTTGTTCCACGATGGCGTAAAGCCGTACAAGTTGATGGGGACTATGTGGAAAAATAGTATGTGTAAAGGAAACATTGATTTATATTGTCACCAAATTTCAGCCATCTTGAATAAATATATTCTGAGGAAAAAAATGTGGGGCATTACTTAATGAGCGACCCTATAACACATCTTCATGACTTACTTAACTTACGAACATTTACAACACAAAATCGACTTGAACATTGTTTCGGATTTTGATGTAGGCATAAGCCTATCTATAGGCCTGTTTTTACCCGGAATTTCATATCTGTGATTACAGTTCCTTGCCTAACTAGAGAGAATTTTTCAGGCTTGATTTCTCTGAAGCTCGGGAAAGGCGAATTTGAAATTCCCATAAGTGCTCGTCTTTTCTTGAATTAAGACGAAGTTTGAGAATTGAAACGGCTTTACACAATCGTCGTGTTTAATTTTTTTTTCCTGGCTGCACAACAATTCTTTTCTTATATTACATCATTGTGTTGCTTGGGGTAATAAATCGTTCATCTGTTTTCAAGAGCTCTGTCATGTGCAGTGAATTCTATTCTTGTGTTTTATGAGGAGACAGTTACAAGAAATACTGATGAAGCTTATTCGGAAATTAACGAACTAGTTCTGCTTTATAATCGGTTCGTTAACGGCAAATCCTTATTTAGATGATGTTTTGAATGACTCCTCATAAGAAAAAGAACTTAAAAGGGAACATTACTTTCTGATGTTTCTAAACTGACCAATCTTGTTTTTATAATTAGAAATGACAGCTCACCATTTGTTTGCTGTTGCTAAGTCGCTAGTGTGTATAAGGTGGCTTTCAAAATACATTACTAAAGGAAACAAGAACAAAATGTTGAATATTCCATATATGTTGCTAGTCCAAGGCGTTGTTATCGGACTGGTACAGTCGCGCAAGAAATGTATTAGCTTCCCAAACTTACAGACTGTGGTATTAATAACTGTAAATTTACTGCTAGAAATTGATGGCATGTCAGTTATTAACTTTTTACAATCAGTTAAATGTTGCCAACCTTGCTCCTTTACGTGACAACTGTTCTTGAAGAAGGCGGAGCCTCAACGGATCTGTATAAACAGCATGTACACTTGATATCATGCTTTGGCGACGAAGACAGTCTCCAAAATACTGGACTTCTACTCAGAACTAAAGCACGTGATCACAAAAGATTTTATTACGAGGCGCGTCCTCAAAGTAAGTTTTCCTGGTTCCGTTTACAGAAACAAAACACAATTTCATGTAAATATTTATTGCAACAGATACAGCAAGTGTCTAGCTATTTTTCAACATATTCGCCACCGGAATTGAGACATTTGTCATACCGTGGGACCAACTTTTGAATACCTGTGTCGTAGAAGTCTGCCGCCTGGGATTGGAACCACTGTGTGACAACCATCTCCGCCTCTCTTTCATTCTCAAAACGCTGACGCTGACGCTGACCGGACAGGAATTTCTTGAGGTGTAGGAAAAGATGGAAATCACTGGGAGCGAGGTCCGGGCTGTAGGGTGAATGATTAAACACCTCCCAGCTGAACTTCTGCAGGAGACTTGCTGTCCGTCGAGCCGTGTGCGGCCTAGCGTTATCACTGACCGCACTTCACAGTCGGCGGGGGCTGGAATAAGAACCTCCATCTTCAACAGCTGCAACGATGCTAATGTGAGAACGCGGGAAGTTCCGTTAGTGCATGCGCCATGCTACGTCATTGCTCTATCACGTACGCACAGTCGCTTCGCGCAATATAAGGTTTGCTAGCTGTGGGACGAGTGGGAAACTTACTTTGAGGACGCGTCTCGTACTAGAATATTGAGGGGATCCAAAACACAGAAGTACTACAAGGGAATAAATAGATTAGTTTCGAGTGTCCGTGCATTCTGTGGCGATCTTGAATGTTTTGAACACTGGGACCACGGGTTCTAATCTTACTTTGGGCATCGATGTATGACCTCGTTTCTTTGTATCTTTTTCGTCTGTTTACACAGACTTCTTAACGGCGGTCAGATTCCCCGGTCACGAATCCTACCGTACTTATAAAAGATATACTCGTTTGTAACTCACGGTTCAAAACTAATCTGGGTTACTGCATATTGTAACTACACGTCTTCGTGATTTATCTCAGTCTTACTAGATAAATGCAGGGAAGGAGAGTACTTTCTAATCGATCGCGATAATTGTCATCCGTACTCATCGTTTATGATGATGTAACCATCTCATTCGACGAAATGTAGCAAGTTCAGTTGATACAGTGTCATAAATTAACTTTAGGATTAATCATCCATACAGGTCTGGAATGTCTTACATACTCAGCTGTGGCGTCTCAGCGTCTGGAAATTTTGAGGTTCTAGAGGTCTTTTGCGTTGTGACACCGTCTGCTGTTGGTGATTACCAGCGTTTCGGAAGAATATATCCCCTCCGTATTCGGGATTGTATATACCTGCATAACAGTTGCGTTAAAGAATTAATCTCTGTGCTAGATAAATTTATATTTATCGTAGATAAATGAAAGTAAAATCTTCGTTGCACATCAGTCAGGTCGATGTAGGTTTCCACCAACCCTCTCAAAAAGAAACGTAAGCAGATATCATTATATTATTATAAAATTTTCTAACAGTGGTGCACTAACACTGTTATGATACCTTGTTATGACATTGCAGACAGTTTTTTTAAATTAAAATTTCCAAAATGTGTTACGATTCGGAGATTGGTAGTATCTGTGTCCATTATATGACGGTAGTGAACCAGTGTTGAAGATTGGCTGTGTCTTACATGTCACTCATGATCAACTCTCGTTCATCCGATAGTGTATAACGACTGAGATTCGAATCGGATATCTTCGGGATACACCATGAAATTTTCCACCCATGAATCTGGTCTGTAGTATAACGTCATGAGAACCTTTCCGTCTGAATTCGTTCGGAAAGAGGGAAATAACGTAGGCCTATACTGAGGCTATATCCACTCTGACATCGCTACGCGAGGATTGTCGGGTGGTTCCAACTAAATAAAGTGAGAAGAATTCGACTGATTTCGGGGAATTTCAGTTAGTTACAAAAATCTCTCGTATGAATTACTTCGTGGCGAGGATAGAAACGTATGGTAACTAGTAAATATTAAGGTGTATTGATGGTAAAAACTTTGTTTCAAATATAGTATGTCATAGCGAGCCTTAAGTAGGAATTGCTCCACTTAGAATAACAAGAGTAAAAACGGGTGTTCGACTCAGCTGAATCTAGAGGTAAACTGTTTTCAGCACGGTAATGAACCTTTGTGCTGAATCAAAGTTGGGGAACTTTTTGGTCAGTCAAATTTCTAAAAAAACAAAATCTGTTTCGTGTACAAAACCTAGGCGTTCATGGAACGATAATAGTAAAATAAGATTGAAGTATGTGAATTGGATTGATATCTTCATGATATACACCGCTGTTTTGTGGACAGGTTAATGAACACTCGAGTTGCATAAAAGACAGAATTTCTTGACTAGCTGAGCGTAGGCCTTCTGTCAGCTCCTTGGGGACCGTTGTAAGTCTGTTGTTGGAAAGCCAACGAATAATGACTATCATACCGCGTAAGATAGTTAATTATTTATATTTGTCTGTATGAAATATAGTACAGTATAACAGGAATAATTAAATAAATTTATTCGAGGAGATTTCGAAGCTGTCCTAGAAACATAAATCCCCGTACAACCCTCGATTTGGGTAAGTCATCGATTATCCAAATTTACTTAAATTTTGTAATTTTAAACTGTTCATGGAGCAGAGCCCACATTGAGAAGAAAGCTGCATATACATTATATGGCCTTTCCCCATTTCAAAGTAATGTGAGCCGATAACTCGCAGAATGTGCACCCCTGACCTACGACAAGTGGTAGGTCAACTGGAGGGCACCGAGAAGGGTAAGGGGAGAAGAGTCTCTCCAGTTGTGGCAAAGCGAAAACTGGTCCAGCCAGACGAGGGCGGCCCTCGACCACAATCTCCCCGAAGCATCCTCAAGGACAGCGTAAAGGGATGCCAGGCTGTCTTACCCTGGTATTTCATCCAATCAGAGAAGCTGATTCTATGTAGCAAACCAATCATGTCTCCTGCATTCAGAGAACTTGACAGTGTAATGTTTTATGTTGCTAATATAAAACAAAGGCAGATGCCAATACGTAATCCTGCCGAATGCTGTTGTTGAAAACATCGTCCAATAGGGAATACCATTTAGTTTGAATACAGCCAATCATGTTTCAACTTAAGAGTCGATCGCTGTGTTCTGTAACTAATGATGTAAAATGTGTACTGTAATCTATGTGAACATGTAATGACAGAGTGAATTTCTTACAATGGGACTATTCTCTTGTACCGTGTATCTTAGATTCTTAGCACGTTCCTACGTTAGCATAGGGTTGCAATCTTCTGGTATATATAGGTCAGTGGAGTCTGGGAATAGTCAACTGTGAAGATTTGAAGAACTGGGCCAGACGTCTGGATCATCATGAAAATTTTGGTAAGTTTACGGTGTCCGTGATTGGCTCAGTTTATTTGAACGCGCTTAAATTGCGTACTGTATAAGACCATTTTGGGGAGTTTACCCTTAAGGCACAATGTAGGTGGTAATCGTTAATTATTTACGCTGTAATTGTGTCGAACGTTGTCTGTTTGATATATGCGCGCATTATGCGTTATTTTGTACAGAGTATATAATGGGATTGTTAAGTCTATAGCAGTACGCGTGTCCCACCTCCGAAACTATTCAATTGGTTCTAATTGCATTTGGTGTTGAAAAGCTGCCCTAAAGATGTCTGTCAGTCGAGTTTCAGTTTGTTCCATTCGATCCACCATAACCCCTGCTTACTTTTCTTCGTATATTCCCATAGGAGAAAGTAAATCAGAACAGACGAACAGTAGGACTCGTACAGGAAAGATCTATCTGGAAATGCTTTTAATATTTTTCAGTGCCGAACTTTAAAGTTGTTCGGGCGAATGAAATAGGAATTTTAAGTAAGATTTGTCGTGTGAAGAACGGGAAATTGATAATGAAGAGTGTGGGTACAGATTCGAAAAGAATACGTCTCAAATACAAATATGAATGTCGTTTATCTAACCTGCTGTACAAGGAATGTATTTCAACAAATATAAGCTTTACAAGGATGCCACCATACGCACGTTAATAGGGTTTATAGCGCATTAAATTATGTGGGCTTTTTAGACATTCTCATATGTACTTTGTAGTCGTTATTCGTGCGACCTGACCACTTCATGATTCATGCACATGAAAAGTTCGTGAAATTGGTAAGGTTTAGAATATGCAAGGGAAGCTCAGTAGATATCCGAACTGCAGATGTGTTTACTCTTTTCTGTGTTTATATTTTGAGTTATATAATTGAAGAACAAATTATTGCAGTTGTTTAAGTAATATAATATTTTGAAGATTGTCTCACGTGGTGTAATCCACGTTTCTATTTTCCAACGGAATAACAGTTAAAATGGTGTCGTCTGCCATCGTCTAAATTGTAAATAAACTTTTAGAATAGTTAACCTAAAGATCTTAGAGAACGAAGTATAAAAACTGTCATATGTTTGATTACGGATTAGAAGGAAAATACACGTAGCACGCATTATTAACAAACACGCACAGAATCTTGGTAGGGCCATTCAATTACAATGTATAATTACGAAACTAATCACACTGTTGATAATGACATTGCAAAGTCAGAAATTAATATTCTTTTATATCGTTAAATATGTAGTATGTCGATAAATGTTTGAAATGTAGGCCTGAATTTGATATTTTAATGAGATTTCCCGGTATATTTATACATATTTTACATTTTATACCAACTTTTTTACGATAAGGCGTCTTTGCTGAAGTTCGCAAGTTAAATTTTGAAATTTATGTGGAATGAGGCATATTAATTACACCGATACAAGCAAAGTTAATTCTCCGTTTGGTGTACGAGACCGTTTATATCAGGTTTAATCAAGTTTGTTCAGTAGTTTCGGAGACGAAATGTGTAGACGGAAAAAATCAGTCTTACAGACATGACCCCTTCATTACTCTTTTGCGTTAGTTTTATGTAGTTAGAACCAAAAATTTATAAAACACTAATTAAACTCTTTGCTTTCGTAGGGCGGAGTTATTTAATGTTCACTGAAAAAAATACGAAGACGTACGCATAAGCGGAAGGATAATATTAAAATTAAATTTAAGGAAATGGGATTAGAGGTTGTAGATTGGATTCTTTTCACTCAGGATAGGGACTGGTTATGGGCTTTTGTGAGCACAGCAATGAGCCTTCGGATTCCATAAAAATGGGAAATTTCTTGATTAGTTGAACGTACTATCATCGTGCCAAAACTGTGCCCTATGGAGTTAGGTGTAGGAAAAGAAACAGGCGCAAGGTGGGAAGGTTGTTATGTTGTTTGTGAATATTTTCTACGAAGTAGAGTTTTTGTGGCGATTCAGGTGGCTCTCGTGGTGGCGCTGGTGGTGGCAAGTGTGGGGGCCCAGCATCTGGCGTGGCCGTACGGTACGGCGATCTTACCGGCTGGCGCCGTGTCTCCTATGATGACTGTGAAAGAGCCTTCTACAGTGGTCGTAAAGTCTGTTGTTGACAACCCGGTGCAGATGAAGGGTCTGTTCGGAGTGCCCGTGTCCAGCATCTATCAGTATCCCCACGTCGTGCAGGTCGCTATTCCATCGCAGGACACCACCCGCGGCATGCCACAGCCGGTGGAGGACACCCCTGAGGTACTCTTTATGTTGAACGTGAGGGGTAAGGCATGAAGGTAATCGTGAAGTTCACACTCCGGCTTCCGGGGAGAGATCCTCCAGTTCCCACTTGGTAGGAGGCTAGGTCGGATCTGGGTCATGGTGTGGCGAAGACAGTCCCTGCCGGGAATCAAATTCCGGCCAGTTACAATACTTCTAGAGCTTTCCCAGCTTATCTTGTTTTGGGGGAAGAACATACAGCAGACAAAGTTCTTAGGATAATATTTCGACTGGAGGTATGAAGTCATTGAGCAACTTACGTAACGAAGAAGTTGAAGTTATAGCTTCTAATTTTAAAGTAATCCGTACAAGTGGAAATTATGTTCAAAAACTGACCACTAAATTGTTATAATTTTTAATTTTTAATTCTTGCTAGCCTTACCATACAGACCGAAACTTATAAAGGAAATTAGGTGTTATAAGTTCATCCCAGAACTTATCGTGCCGGTATACTGTAGACAACATTTTCAACTATTCAAGAAGTCAGTCCTGTAAATTTGTAACCAGTTATGTCTTTTGACACCAGGTAAAGAGTGCAAAAGCTCTGTTCGCTAAGGAATACGAGAGGGCGGCTATTGCAGCTGCTCTGGCACCAGAAGTGCGCAGGCGCCGTGACATCTCTTCCGTCATGTTGAAGGAGACACCAGCCAGCACCACTCATCTGCGTAGTCCCATGCAGTACCCGTGGCCCCTGATTACGTACTCCGCCGACCACTCATGGTTGTCCGGGCTTCATGTTCCCAGTCACTTCGCACACACTTCTGGAGTCTACGGGGCTTCCCCTGCTCCGGTCATTAGCTACTAAGATCATTCTTATCGTGACCTACTCTATTTTTTGACGAGAATTTTAGTTTTGTTGTCCCTGTTATGAGGCGATAAATGAGCAGGCTTGTCGCATTTGTGTCTATTTTTGGCAGTAATCAGTCATTTGGGGTATTTTGATGGTTTTGTGTCTTCTAAGAGTTGGTTATTTCGACATGTATGTCGAAAGAGATTCTCTATGGGCTAACAGGCGTGGTATAGGTACACGAAAGTTAAAAATTTTGTAATAAATTTAAGCTTTCACTTTGAAAAATGCAAATAAATTTATACTGTATTTGAATTTCGAGTAAAACAGAATAGTATATCAGATGGATAAATTGCTTTGGACAAGGAACGTTTATGTGATGCTAGAAATGTATACTATTCACCAGAGATTTTTTAAATTAGCCTAATCGGTCGAGAATAACCAGCCGTGTGAATACAAACAAAGAAACATACAAAAATATAACTGCTATGGAAATACCTCAAGTAGGCCTATGATCGTAAATAAATGTTGATGAGATTCGTTTGCTGCAAGGTCTATTGTAATAGTCATAAATGAAGTTTTCCAACAATAAGATGAATCACATTCTGTGCTTACCTAATCAGGGTTTGGTTAAAATGTGTTATTTCAACAGATGGCTGGTGATTTGATCACATATTTGAATAAAATTTAGTTTTGTGAGTGAATATTAATTTTCAGTGAACATTCCTACGTTTCACAATTATTCGGCATGCTTCAAATATCTCCATTAAAATAATTTTTCCCTTATTATGTAGGCAGTATATGCTGAAAATATGTAAAATTACAAACTGTTTCGTGGTATTACTTTTGTTATTAAAGAAATCATGAAAGGTCAACAACTAACGTGTTAGTTAGGTTTCAGACTAGATGGAACCACAGAGCAGAATAATTGTTAAGATAGAGTTGGTCACGGTTTGATCCGAAAATCGCCTACCCCTCCCCCAGAAACGCCCTGGTCCTTTCAAACAGATAAAATGCTACGTAGTTGGAACCCAGTTTCGTGACTTGTTTGTACCAGTACCTGGTATCAAAGAGAGTTCAAGGATTAGTCGTGGCATTATGTTAATTGAGCTGATTTAATTAACAACTCACATTATACGTCCTGTAGTGGGTATAGTGATTATGCAACAATAAATATTATATTTTGCGATTTAAGATTTTTAGCATGGTGTGTAATCTGTCTAATTTGTTTACAGATTGCATTGGTGAAGGTAAAAAATTATGCATATTTAAATTCCTCATCGCAGACATAAAATTTCAAACGTCATTTATATAGTAATATTGTGATTTAATTTTAATTTTACTCTCATACCTGAGAGTTTGTATGCTGTGTTGATACTTTTCTGTGCTGATTTTATGAGTTCTGTAACCTAATTGAAAAATAAATGTAATGCAGGATAAGTGTTTATTTTAAATACTTTCGCCAGTGTTTATGCTTTAGAGGTAATCTAAAATTACATTGTTTTTTATCAAATTTTATAGTAAACAAATTTAACGACGAAGTATAAGAACGTCCTTACATTGTCATTCATATGAAATGAGTAGGGTTGTGAAGGAAAAGGGTAATTTTCTACAGTTATGTTCGGGAGGTGCTCTGTTTTAATCCGGACCAGGCTACTGACTGTTCTCTGGGGTTTTTCGGATTTTCCTCGGTGTTTCAGTGCGAATGTTGAGGTGGTATCTACACTTAAATGGGTCATGGTCACTTCGTTCCAAACCCTAACCTACTCGTGATTCATGATTGTTAAACATCTCATTCGACACATTTTACGTGTACGACTCCAAGTAGAACTCCATGGAGTAGTCATTCTTGAGAAGCTGACAGTCTTTCAGCTGATCGAGACAATACCCGTGTTTTATGGAACACAAATGTTCATTACCGTGTTCACAATTGCCCTGTCCTATCCCTAGCCATTTCTATGAAAAGAAAGGCTCTTCATACAAAAATAGTTACACGTGAAATTTCTTCTGGCTAAGTTACATTTGAACATTTATCTGTAATAAGTGAAGATGAACCATTCCGAATAATGCATTTAAACTATCCCTTTGTATACATTCTTCGATTCTAAAGTCTGGCAGACTGTGATGTCGCCAGTTGTTCTAACTTACAAACCACGCGTATCTAGTTTTTATCAAATGTTACTGCGTCCTTTGTTTCTACTGAATTTTGCAGTTCTTCGTAACAACAGGAGATAAATGAGGGGTACCTATCTTCGGAAAACTATGCGATTAATGCGCATTGTTAGAGGCCTTGTAAAATCTGGCCTGCCCAACAACGTTTCAACCAAGTTTTTGGATAATATTAATATAATAATAATAATAATAATAATAATAATAATAATCGTACGTGTTTAGCTTAACTCGATCATATTGACTCGTACTCTGACAGAAGATGGGTCGTTAGCTTCGCCATATCTGGCTGTCTGCATGAAACAACTCGAGAATGATGGAATAGAATGGATTGTCGTGAAATCTGATATTTAAGATTTCTCCTAAAATTTGCCTAGTTTTGGTTAAAACCTAACAGCAATAACGGGTTTTTATGAGATCTGCACGCGGAAGTGACTTGGTGGGCTACCTTGGTTGCTTTAGTTTCCATGATTACTCTAGTTTTCGATGCCAACACACTGCTAATTTCTGCATCACTTTGGCGCAGTTGAGGAGATGATTATTTCAGGGAAAATTTTGCAGCGTTTGGCGGGAAATTACGATTTCCAGTTTATCAGTGGACGAATTGTAGGCCTGCAATGAATCCACGGAATAGGCGAGTACTTAGAATTTCTGCTTTGTATCGTTCGTTTTTTAGTCTGAAGACCGGCAATCTTGGTTTTCTTCATTCTCCAGCTGCATACTTAGATAATAGCTTAAAATAAGCTAAGTCTGCTTCATTGCATCATTTGGTATACTTTCTGGACCCACGCATCCATCGACTCATCTATCTGAAATCTATCCACAGATCCACGCAGGTGGAATAAATGAATTAGTATTATAGGTAGTTTATATTTTTAACGCGCATTTCGGTATTGTGGTGAGTGAAGTCATTCCAGAGTGGCGTTGTGTGAGCCGATCATTGGCAAGGCCATAACCCTGACACACCAACTATCCGACGCTCTAGCACAAATTGTCGCATTTACAAATCTGGGAATAATAATTAAGTTTGGTGCTCAAGGACCTGGGCCGAGCTGTTCGAAGGTCACAAGACCGGCAATCCATACGGATTGTGATGTCATGTTTGTTTCTTCCTATCACGCCACAGAGGGATTTAGGGGAGCCGAAGGTGAAGCTCTACGTATATTTAAAGTCTGCATTAGATGGATGGATGAATAGGTAGATAAGTAGATTGTTAGGTGCTTTTCACGTTCTGGCGTGAGCGAAGAACACTTAGGCCCGCCCATGTCTGTCATTCAAGTTTTTCTTGTTGGAGTAGGCAGCCTCCATGACCAGGAATAATTTTTTGGAAATACTGCTGTGCAATATTGGAAACAAATTTTTGTCCGAAAGTTACCTCGGATTACATTAGTGCAACACATCCTTTCGAAATAAAGACTTATTAACCCTTTAAAACTTAGTAACAACTAGATGCACCACCTGCTTTTTAGTCTTTAACGTAGTATTTATTTCGTGTAATCTTCTGAATAGAAAACGATAATTTTCTTGAACAACATCAACCAATTATGAGATATTATAGTTGCGTCATATTGTGATATTTATTAAAATAATTATTATATTTGTTTACCGTCAAATCACAATAAAATAGTAAGATAAGATAATTAAAATGATTAAAATATCATCTTATGTTCCATATCGAGCATTCATATTTCATTAATGTTTTCGAATCTTTTACTTCACAGACTGATATAAACATCAATAACACCACCTCAACAATAATGTTATATTAATAATATCTAGACACAACTTCCATAAAATATACTGAGAAAGATGATAAAATTATAAAATTGTAAAAACTATAAATAATTGTAATTTGAGTTTAAAAGTTTATAATTTACACCTGATGACGGTTTGATAAACCGAAACATGTTGTGAATGTTCCGATGTAAATCGAATGCTCGATATGGAACATAAGATGATATTTTAATCATTTTAATTATCTTATCTTACTATTTTATTGTGATTTAACGGTAAACAAATATAATAATTATTTTAATCAACCAATTAATTTGTGTAACAGTGAAACATTGTTTTCTTTGCGGTAGGAACTGAATCTTTAATATTACATAGACGAACTTCGGCCTCAAAGGGTTAAATACAGAATAATCATTGTATGGTACGTGTCCAGCTCTTCCTGGAACCTTGACCTTTATCTCAGAGGACTGTAACAGTCCTTCATATTCGACAAGCTGAGGTATTTGCCAGAAATTCAAGGGGCCTCGCTACAAATCCAGTCATGGCATTGAAATGAGTCGCCAGTGAAATAAGTGATGTAACACTTCTCTTAGGTACTTATACAGAATAATCATTGTATGGTACGTGTCCAGCTCTTCCTGGAACCTTGACCTTTATCTCAGAGGACTGTAACAGTCCTGCATATTCGACACGCTGAGGTATTTGCCAGAAATTCAAGGGGCCTCGCTACAAATTCAGTCATGGCATTGAAATGAGTCGCCAATTTATTTTACGATAGGGCCAGGTCTGTATTTTTACCCTATTTTGATTGTTTCTGAATTATTGTACAAAGAAAACAAGTTTTTCTGTCGTTGGTGCTTCTGTTTAGAGTTTATTTTCAATGGTAACAAATACATTTTTTGTTGTACCTTGGTTTTTTGAAGGTGAATAACCGAATTACGTCGAAATTGTTGTTTATTTATTTAAAAAAGACACACAAGGACGTAACTTAGAAAAACAACAACAAAACTTAAAGAATGCTGCCATTTTTTTATAACCTGAGTTCTTGAATATCATTTGTTTGTAACTATCGTATTGGAATTTGCTTGTATCTCAACAAACAGAACAAGTTTTTGTGACACCAAGTATATTCTTTAACAGCAGGCTACTGGAATTGGGAAGTCCAATTAACGTTATAAAAATAAATTAATCTGGTAGAGTAAACAGTGTCTACGTATTCCTAAGGCCGTCATTATTAGACTTACCACTTTGAAGATTCATAACTGCATCTACCCTAATACAGGATGTTTGATCTAAAACGCAACACAGCATTTACATTCTTCGACACAAAAAGAAATTTAGGAGCAGGCGTACCTACTCTCGTACATTCTGCACAATGCACACATTTTGAATTTCACAAAACTATTATTATATAATAATTTATTTCTGTCATCTGTACTACTGTAAGCTACTGCCAGAAAAAACGCAATTAAAATATCTTTTTTATCGAAATCCTCAAATCCAATAAATTTATATCAATTAACTTTGCAAAATTAGAACGTAAAATTTTATGTAGAATCATGGTGTCGACAGAAGATAAGATTCGTAATGGATTTTCTATTATTATCTAAGGAATGAAAAATGTAATTGCCTTAGTGTTGTCAGACAGGAGAAATGTTTCTTCTAGTATTCTCTACAGGAGGATGAAACAGACAGCTGCTATATCAACATTTTACGTGTGATGTTGGTTCAGTAAGGTGTTGACAGGTCTAAGATTAGAAGCTTGTTGCTGTCTCATCTGTTTCGATTAAATCAAATTGTTGGTAAGACTGGGAACATAAGTCAGTGCCAGACCAGTTAATTGTCTCACTATGAGAGCCACCATACTAGTTAGTTCTGTAGAATACGCTGAATGAAAAGCTTTATTCAGTGTTCTCTTCCAATAAGAGCAGGCCCACCTGGTCTGTGGTTGGTTAATATTTCCACTTGCTGGTAGTCATCTACAGTCTACTTGCTTAGCCTCGACCCTGTAAAAGAAAAACGAGGAAAAGAAAGAGTCAGGATCCGAATAAAAGTAAAAAAAACAAACTAAAAGCTGCAAAATTTAGCCCGAAGCTGGTCGGAGATTTCAGAAAGGTCTGTTGGTTGGCTGGTTGTGGTGGTAGCGTCTCTCTCTCTCCAGGGCGTCCTATCCTGTTGTCCCGGCTTCATACCAACAGAGTTGGACCTCGATAGTTAATTGCGTACAACCATCCCGATGGTAACAGGCGACATGAACTGCTTGCTCGTGGTAAGTCTGCCGATACTGATTTGTTTGCTTAACAGCGCATTTTCAGCCACACAGGTTATGTAGTATTAATGGAAGTGTGAAAGTGAATATTTTATTTAAGGGATGAGGAAGGAATCGCTCGCATGAAATATTCAATTACGGTTTTAAAAATACAGATATTGGTCTATATGTGATTTACGATTGGGTTGTCTCACGTAGTTCTAACTACAGAAGTTACAGTTTACAGGTTATTTAACGTCGTTCTTTTAGCATCGTATTCGGGGGTCCTGGGTTCATATCTGGGATAGGAATCTGACTACCCTGACGGGATTTGTATGGTTTTCGTCAGTATCTCCAGTAGTACATACAATTAGGCCACGTCCACTTCCTTTAATTTATTTTATAATTCTAATAATTCTACGCTACATACTCTGAGCTACTGACAGCGTCGTTAAGTAGACCGTCAGTGAATGAATGCGACTCTATTTCATCTGCAGAGTTTATGGCTAGCTGGGTCTTGAATCGTTAACGACACTGTTTCAGCTGTTGAGTTTGTATAGAGTTGAGTATGAATTGGGGGAGGGATGTGGAAGGAAGCGGCCGTAGACTATTACAGAACACTGTACTGGTGTTTACCTAGAGAGACTGAGGAAACCCACAAAAGGTCTCGGTCAATATAGAAGATAACTTGTTTGAATAAAAATTTCCTTGGATATTATCCATCGTCTAGTAAATATAAAACGTAAAACGACGTTTCGGAGATGGGACTGTATCTCCGTCTTCAGGTTCCTACACAGTTGGGCCCACTAGATAGAGCTAATCCCTATTACCATCGTCAAGAAGTTTTAGATTTGCTATAGAAGATAACTTGATCAAAATTCGATATATCCCGAATGTAAGTAGAAAGTTGCCGATACATCGACTTGGTCAGTGGTTATGTCGACTTCCATTTGTGTTTATTGTGTCTAGCCCCTGCACATACCAAGTTATTTTTACCATGCTGTGAAGATACACCTGTGAGTTTGTGTGAGGTGAAACTCTGCTATCATTAATTTCTTATGCTTTTGTTGAAGTGTATATATTGAACGCATTGTGGGAAAGTCGTGTTTATTAGTCCACAAATTTCACGTTAAGTCAATTTAACTTTTAAAGATGACTGTCTACTAGGATGTTGCAGGACTGCTTACTGCCTACGGCATCAGGGCTGCAAGTGCTAATGCTGGAGGCAGTAAGCACTTCTGAAACGTCTGTAAACGTCTTCCAGACTAAACGGCGCTGTACTCCATAAATCAGTCGTGTTCAATATTCAGAATGATTTGAAATGTTTATATATATATATATATATAATAAACTTTCGTGGCGATTTCCAATACAAATGAAGCAGCAGACTGACGGAGTGTTTCAAGGGAAAATGTTGATTGCTGTCTTCAACACAGAAGCACACCATGAAACATCACACATGTGATTCGCGTTTCTACGACACAATGCGTTCAGTTCTCTTTATTATTTGCTTTACTTTTATCACATTCTTTCTTTTGATGATTTTTCACACGAACTTCTAAATTATTTGTCATGATAATAGCCAACCCACATTGTATTATAATTAATGCTTATAGGTGATTACCGTGGTTAAAAATTCTGTGAGCGATGTGCGTCCGACAAGCAGAGACAGTCCAAGGAATATTTTACGTGCTGGACGCTGACTGTTTATCAGTGCTCAGTATTAAAGCATGGTCACAGTTGAAGTTAGAAAATTAGCCACACATCAATGTTGCGATACGTTAATTAGGCTATGTGAGACTATTTAAGCCGATGATGAAGTAGTTTGTATTGATTTATTTACCTGCTGGAAAATTAAATTACCTCTTCTATAGAACCTGTTTTACTTACGCTTCCCCTCTGTGAGGGGTCGTCAGCTTCTTTGACGTGGTACTTACACTGAATGACAGTCAGATATCTGCCGTACCTTATTATTATAATCATAGTTGAGAGGAACAGTGACCCAACTCGACTATTTTGCAAATTTGAACGAAGAGTGTACGTACGTATATCATAGGCTGCGTGTACTTTCTTTAGACATTATCATTATATAGACTGGCATTATTCGAGATTTTACGTAATCGCCCAAAAGAAAATTCTGAAATAGTACTTTAAAATAGACTACAGCGGATTCTATCCATACCCAGTTAAAGTTATGAGTCAGAAATCATTCTACCATTGCGTGCTACGTAACTTAGGCAGTTGGATAATCGGGTAATCAATAAACATATTGTCGTCATAAAGCTGTCAAGCAGTTTTTTTTATTTGTTCTGGTCTCTGGAATTTAATAGACTCCTTGACTTTTTTCAAGAGTATAATCCAGGACGCAATGTGGGACAAGTGGATAAATAAATATATTAAATTTACACAGAAGTAATGTGAATACGTAGATTACCTCCATGTATTGACGAGATTAAAATATACGAAGTTGTCCCTTCACTCCCTGCACGTATTCATGCAGTAGTTCTTAGGCAGAGAGAATGCCATTTTTATTTTATCTTATTCGTTGAGAGTTGTATCCCTTTTCCTTTGAACTCCCCCCATATATTCTCTTCATTGGTCTTTATAATTTCCAGCCCCATCAACATATTTTCTACACCGTTATTAAAGTTTAAAGTAGATGCCACTGGATTTACGAATGAAAGGAAAACATAATACGCTTTTATACATTATCTTCAAAATGTACGACACATTGGGAGTGGTATACAACATGTTAACATTATCCCCTCTCTATATGTGTATATCTAGTCACTTGACCTTCAAGTTGACTTTCAATCTCTTGAGGTCACTGCCATTGCCAACCCTAGAACGAGTTTACAGCTTGGTGTTTCTATGTGTCACTGTTGCACACCTGCTGTCCCTTTTGTCACTACACAACAAATTATGTCTTCAGTTTGCATAACAAATGTTCTTCTACGTTTCACTGCTCTGGATATTTCATGTCGTTCAGAAATAAAAACCGTAACACTCTGTGAACGGAATGAGTCTGGTAAAACTTAAAAAAGTTTCGCATAGCGAACTCTATAGTTCAGTAGAATGGGGCGGATTATTCTCCTTCCAGATCTGTTCTCTCTTCGTTCTGCTATTTCTGTCTCGTTATTTCAAATTTTACAATTTGTTTTGTCGTTATTTCAATCTCACAGATCAGCTTACTATGTTGTGCATCCGCCATCTTGGCCGACCAACTTCCGTATCCCCTTCAATTGTTTTATTTAACCCCTAACAACGTGGGGTTAATACCACCATATCAGACACCTAGCCGCTATATGGCTGTAGAGAAGACGGCGATGAGAGATGAAAAGTTATCTGAGATCCTCGCGAAACAGAGTCAAGGGAACGAGGAGGTGGCCGAAGGGGAGGCCTCGCAGTTCCACTCGCAGGACAGCAGGGGTCGGGCCCTCTTTGGCTACACGACACCTGACCAGGCCCGAATTGAGTCTCGAAGTGAGGACGGCACCGTCAGAGGCTCCTACAGCTATCTGGACGCATGGGGGAACGCTGTCAAGGTAACAGCCGCCGGTCGCTTATCTGTGTTATTGTTCTGGGCAAGTTCCACCAGCCTCTATCTTCACAACCTGTCTTCTCTTTGTTTGATTTCCAAATTACTACATTACCTGTTTATCCCTACCAACATTTTATATGCATTTCTTTACTCCCCTATCCAAGTGCGTACTAGAGGTTTGTAGAAATGAAATCTGCGTTGTTTGCGAGGGCGCAGCAAACTCGCATCTCAACCTTATTCAAATTGCAGGACAGGAGCGGAATTTACGGTCCGAACTGCAGTTTCGCTCTGCTTCCAGGTACAGTACTGGGACGATGGCACAGGCTTCCACGCTGCCGGAAACAATCTTCCTGGCGTATATTCAGAGATGCCCCAAGTGGTTCAAGACACACCCGAAGTGATGGCAGCGAAGAAACAGCATTTTCAGTTATTCCAACAAGCACTTGCAGCTGCTGTTACTAACACAGACAAAACGGATCCCAGCAACAACCATAAGCCTCAGCAGGCACCTTCAGAGGAGGTCCACAATCACGAAGGAGTGGTAGTCGAAAGTGATGATCCCAGTACTGTTCCCCCCGACGATTTGAAAGAACTGACACGATATCCTCTTCTTCATATGTTTCCTCAAAACCTGTTCGATCCCACGCACGTCCACGACGCTAGCAGAGAGGCTGTTATTGTGGATAACCCAGATATTTCCTCAGACACATCTGGGAACAGTCTTAGAGCTGCGAAGACTCTTGAAGTTGAATCTGGGGAAGGGAGTTCTGGAGTCACAAGTGATGTGACACCACCTCAAGTACCTGGTGGATTCTTTTATAGTTTTAGATATCCTGTCCCTTTGTATGTGCAGGTTAGGACTATGGAAGAAGACAAGAAATATGGTGACATAAAGAAAGAGGCAGTGACTGTCAAAGATGGTTCATCGGTGTCACATAAAGCTGCTTT